TCTGACACCTGCACAAGCATGCTTTTATAGGTTGACAAGGGCGGGTTTCCTAAATCTGTTGCTGTTATTTTTATATCATATTCCGGCACTAGCTCTCGATCTAATCGCTCTTTCGTTACAAGAGAATACATGTTTTCCTGAATTGACGGCTTTAACTCAAATGGTACATTGTCAGAAAGGCTACAAACAACTTTCCCGTTAATTCCAGAATCTTTATCGCTTACACTGATGAGGGAAATAACTGTTCCAACTTTTGCATCCTCCATAACTACATTAGAAAGAGAGGTTACTTGTATTTCTGGTTTATTATCATTCACATCTTCAACTTTAATGATAAGCTGGCAGTCGGTGTTAAGAGGAGGGACACCTTTGTCTGATGCTCTTATTATCAAACTGTATATTTCATTTTCTTCAAAGTCGATCAAACCTTTAACTTGTATTTCCCCCGACTTTCGGTCTAAGTTAAATATATCGAGCACTTTTGGTTTCATGTTTCTACCGTATGTGTATTCTACTTCACCATTGATACCGCTATCTGCATCACTTGCATTCATAATTGTAACTACAGTATCCATCGCTGCATTTTCCCGCAGTGTTATAGTTGTAGTGTCACTACTGCATATGGGGCGGTTATCATTTACATCCAAAACAAAGACGGTGATGTTAAGAGTGCCTGATTTTGGTGGAGCTCCACCATCTACTGCAGTCAACAATAGTCTGTGCATTTCAGTGGTTTCCCTGTCTAATGCTTTCTGTAACACTAAGAAAGGAGTTTTATCCCCATATACACTGTCTTTGATTTCCAAATCAAAATGTGCATTTTTACTCAGCTGGTAAAATCGCACTGAGTTCACCCCCACATCCAGATCTCGAGCAGTTTGTAGTTCAAATCGGGTTCCAGTTACTGTGTTTTCCCAAACCTCAAGATATAAATCTTTATCATGGAAAGATGGGGAGTGATCGTTCACATCTGTTATTTCAACCTCAACATAATGGACTTCGAGAGGCTTTTCGACAACTATCTTCAAATTAAACAAGCAGGCGGCATTTCCATCACACACCTGCTCTCTGTCAATCTGCTTACTCACATATAAGACACCATTGTTCTGATTTACCTCAAAGAGCGCGTCATTTGATCCAGAAACGATGCGAAATCGCCTGTCCGCCAATGCACTGACATCAAGACCTAAATCCTTAGCGCAATTTCCAACAACAGATCCCTCTTTCACTTCTTCTGGAACAGTGTATCTTATCTGCGCAGACGCTTGCTGTCCAAAGCACACGAGCGAAAACAGAAAAATCCAGCAGCACTCCCATGCGCGCCTTTGTCCTCCAGAATCCATTGTGAGCGTTTTCATGCGCCGTTATTCAAGAGTCCAATACATTCTGCGCGATTGTACACTACACTATGATCGAAGTCATATCACGGAAATCAAAACCTAAATGTAAAACAGGTTTAAACGACGCGTTTGACTGAAGATCAGCTCACGAATGCAAGGAACAATACATCCCGTTCCACGTCATCATCAGAGGCAGGTCCTATCTGATTCACATTATTAGTGCAACAGTGACATCGAGTGGTCCACAAATACACAATCCATAAAAAAAACTCTTCATTAAACCCACCTACTACGTAAAAAAAACTTAAAATAATTGCACGCAGTGTCATAATAGCTTGTGTAAGACTTTAATTTTAGATTATTTTTGTTGTTGAAATGTTAAGTTATGTAGATGATAACTAAAATATAATTCCTGCCAAATTTGTTGTTCATATTCATGTATGGCAAAATAATTTCTGATGCTTTATTATGTAAAATTTGTGACATGTTTCTTTAATGCTCGCGTTTTGCCTTTGCATTGTTTTGTTTTTGCATTGCCTTCTCGCTAGAAGTGTTCACATACCGCCTGTTGTCAGTTAAAATAAGCCTTTCTTCGTGTGCCCAAGCGCTGTATGATACACATTTAAAGGGTTTATAAGGATGCAGAATGAATCATTCGGGTTTTTGTACCTCCGTTTAAATAAACGCGCATTTGTTTACGGATTTGTCTGACAATATTGTGACGAGTAAAAATTCCACGTCCCTGCCAAGCAAATAAATATATATTTCGCAGCTACAACTTGCATGCTGCTCCATATAATAAAGTGTCTACATATTACTCAAAACAAATTAAATATGTGAGCAGAATAAAAACACCTTTAAATGTAGCACAATCCTAAGCAACCGCAACACATTTCAGCACCAGCACAGTGGACAGCTCCTTCTATAAAGTCACTACTTCGTATAACTGTGAATGTTGATAAATAAGTATGCACATGCATTATATGCAGAGCAAAACAATCATGGGAATTATTAAATTGCTATTTATTAGGGTCTTTAATTGTGTGATAAACACATTTTGCAGAGTGTTAAAAGGTTAAGTAACTGTGCACACAAAAGTAAATACAAAATACGAACACAACAATAGTTTAAATTTTAATCAGCGATTCTTACCTCTCCAGAGTCTCTCCTCCTGCGATCTGGTATGACTAGAGTATTCCTATTACTGCCTGGTGCTATAGTAGAGCCGATACTCATTCTGGGTCCAACTAACATGTAGCGTTTGTCTCCAGATCTGTACTGGATGCTGTGACACAGAGTCCCGTCATAATTTGTGTCCTGTAAATACTTGGACGAATAGTCTGTAGATTTGGAGCACTGCATTACAATCAACACGATGATGCTGATGACGAAAAGCACCGAAACCGAGCCCAAAGTGATGATCAAATAAAATGTCACGTTGTTTTCCTCCTCGTCTTTCTCTGCGTTTTTAACATCAGAAGCTGCAAAAGCCTCTTTGGGCTCCACAACTTTGACAATCACAGTCGCTGTTGCTGAGAGGGAAACGTTCCCATTGTCTTTGACCAGTATGACCAGTTTATGCTGGGCCTCGTCTGTTTCTGTGAATGAGCGAAGGGTCCTTATCTGTCCTGTATAGCGGTCCAAAGCAAAGAGACTGTGCTCACTAACTTCCTGCAGTGAGAATAATAACCAGCCGTTGTATCCTATATCTGCGTCATAGGCTCTGACTTTAGTCACCAAATGACCTGCGTTCACATTACGGGGAATCTCTTCCACACCCTCAGCAGAACCGTTAGCGCTGACTGGATATAAGATCACTGGAACGTTGTCGTTCTGATCCAGAATAAACACGTTCACTGTCACGTTACTGCTCAGAGATGGACTTCCAGAGTCTGTGGCGAGTATGTGGAACTGAAATTTCTTTACTGTTTCATAGTCGAAGCTTTTCAGAGCACTAATAACTCCCGTTTCAGAATTTATATTAAGGAATGAGCTCATATCGCTTTGTGTCTGATCGCCTCTTATAATCTGATACACAATAACAGCGTTTTCATTTTTGTCTTTGTCAGTGGCGCTCACAGAGAATATGGACTGTCCGGGTGGATTATTCTCAAATAGATAAACTTCAAGAGGGCTGTGGGAAAACTGGGGTGTATTATCGTTCACATCAGACACTTCTATACTTAAAGATTTGGTTGCAGAAAGAGCTGGGTTGCCCAAATCAGTAGCTGTTATTGTAATGTCATAATGAGACGCAAACTCCCGGTCTAAACTCTCTTTAGTTACCAGAGAGTACATGTTCTGCTGCACGTAAGGTTTCAACTCGAATGGTGAATTTTCTGACAAGCTACAAACAACTTTACCATTAATTCCTGAATCTTTGTCTGTAATGCTAATGAGAGAAATGACTGTTCCTGGTTTTGAATCCTCAGAAACAATATTAGAAAGAGACGTAACGTCAATCTCAGGCTCATTATCATTTACATCTATAATTTTAATGATAACTCTGCAGTCGGTATCCATTGGAGGTCGTCCCTTATCAGAAGCTATGATGTTCATGCTATATATTTCGTTTTCTTCAAAATCTATTTTTCCTTTTACTCGTATTTCACCAGTTACTTTATCCAACTCAAATATATCATGCACTTTACGCTGTACATTTCTGCCGTATATATATTCAACTTCTCCATTAACGCCTTCATCTGGGTCAGTTGCGTTAACAAATGTAACCCTGAAACCGGGAGAGGCGTTCTCCTTTAAAGTGATAGTGTATGTGTCCCGGTTGCATGTTGGCCGGTTGTCGTTTACATCGAGGACTGTGACTGTAATATTTAACGTGCCAGATTTAGGAGGATTTCCACCATCAACTGCAGTCAATGTTAAGAGGTGTTTCTCTTTATTCTCCCGGTCTAAAGGTTTTTGTAAGAGCAAAAATGGACTTTTATCTCCGTATTCACTGTCTCTTATTTCTATGTCAAAATGCTCATTTTGTCCGAGCCGATAAGACCGGATAGAGTTAACACCGACATCCAAATCCCGTGCAGTCGGAAGACCAAAACGAGTGCCTTTTAATGTGTTCTCTGCTATTTCAATGTGCAAGTCTTTTTCTGGAAATAAAGGCGAGTGATCATTTACATCTGTTATCTCAACCTCAACATAGTGAACCTCGAGCGGATTTTCAACAGCAATCTTTAAATTCAGCACACACGCAGCATTGCCATCACAGATCTCCTCTCGGTCGATTTGCTTATGAACAAACAGGATGCCATTGTTCTGATTTACCTGGAAAAAGCTGTCCCTGGATCCAGACACGATGCGAAAACGCCTGTGCTCTAATGAACTTACATCAAGACCGAGATCCTTAGCGATATTCCCCACATGTGTTCCTTCTTTCACCTCCTCCGGAACCGAATATCTGATCTGTGCTGAAACGCGCTGCATACAACGCAGGATCAAACACAAAGCAATCCACCAGCTCCACAATCTGCGCCTTTGTCTATCCTTAGCCATCGCGAGCGATTAAAGATAGAGTATTCCAGAACCAGACATGTATCGTCCGTGTTTTACGCACAAAATGATGAACTATGTAGAATCAATATTCAGCTAAACCCAGCAAATGTCGTATCGTCAAGCCTCCATCACCATATAATTTGCCTCGGCTCACACTGACTCCTAAAATAAATGGAACAAAACAGCACTGCGCATGTCACCATGTAGGGCAGGGCAAAGTCCTTGCTCTGTTCATAAAGCTATGCTGACACCGAGTGGTCTATTGTTTATTTCACTCCACAAATCTCTTAAATGTTACAACTAATACTGATGACTTTAGAACCATTATTATGCGAGGTAAACAAAATTGTAACATAACGTTTAAACAAAATTACCAAAGTCAATTAAAGCCAAGTTCCCTTTAGAAGATGTAATGTCTAATACTGACAGAAAATTAACGTAGGGCTTGCTTTGTAAACTCAGAAAGAAAAACACTGGAATAATTGCTAAACTACACACACACACACACACACACACACACACACACACACACACACACACACAATCACAAACACGCACACACACACACACACACACACACACATATATATATATATATATATATATATATATATATATATATATATATATATATATATATATATATATATATATAGTTTATTTGCAAAGTTTTTTTTTCTGAAAAACAAGCCTGTTTTAAATAAGCTACATTTTATACTAGCACCAAGAAAGTAGGCAGCTCCCTGCGACATTCGCGGTTAATTGAAAAAAATATATATTAAAGTGTTAAAGGCTATTATTTAGTAGAAACCATAAATACAATAAATGAAAAAGTTAATCCAAAAACTTGCTACATACATTTTCACGTTTTGTAATAATCATAACTGTAAATCACATTGGCTGAATACAAAAAAGCAGCAGCGACAAAGATTAAAATTAATCTGTCATGTCTTACCTCTCCAGAGTCCCTCCTCCTGCGATCAGGTATGACTAGAGTATTCCTATTACTGCCTGGTGCTATAGTAGAGCCGATACTCATTCTGGGTCCAACTAACATGTAGCGTTTGTCTCCAGATCTGTACTGGATGCTGTGACACAGAGTCCCGTCATAATTTGTGTCCTGTAAATACTTGGACGAATAGTCTGTAGATTTGGAGCACTGCATTACAATCAACACGATGATGCTGATGACGAAAAGCACCGAAACCGAGCCCAAAGTGATGATCAAATAAAATGTCACGTTGTTTTCCTCCTCGTCTTTCTCTGCGTTTTTAACATCAGAAGCTGCAAAAGCCTCTTTGGGCTCCACAACTTTGACAATCACAGTCGCTGTTGCTGAGAGGGAAACGTTCCCATTGTCTTTGACCAGTATGACCAGTTTATGCTGGGCCTCGTCTGTTTCTGTGAATGAGCGAAGGGTCCTTATCTGTCCTGTATAGCGGTCCAAAGCAAAGAGACTGTGCTCACTAACTTCCTGCAGTGAGAATAATAACCAGCCGTTGTATCCTATATCTGCGTCATAGGCTCTGACTTTAGTCACCAAATGACCTGCGTTCACATTACGGGAAATCTCTTCCACACCCTCAGCAGAACCGTTAGCGCTGACTGGATATAAGATCACTGGAACGTTGTCGTTCTGATCCAGAATAAACACGTTCACTGTCACGTTACTGCTCAGAGATGGACTTCCAGAGTCTGTGGCGAGTATGTGGAACTGAAACTTCTTTACTGTTTCAAAGTCGAAGCTTTTCAGAGCACTAATAACTCCCGTTTCAGAATTTATATTAAGGAATGAGCTCATATCGCTTTGTGTCTGATCGCCTCTTATAATCTGATACACAATAACAGCGTTTTCATTTTTGTCTTTGTCAGTGGCGCTCACAGAGAATATGGACTGTCCGGGTGGATTATTCTCAAATAGATAAACTTCAAGAGGGCTGTGGGAAAACTGGGGTGTATTATCGTTCACATCAGACACTTCTATACTTAAAGATTTGGTTGCAGAAAGAGCTGGGTTGCCTAAATCAGTAGCTGTTATTGTAATGTCATAATGAGACGCAAACTCGCGGTCTAAACTCTCTTTAGTTACCAGAGAGTACATGTTCTGCTGCACGTAAGGTTTTAACTCGAATGGTGAATTTTCTGATAAGCTACAAATAACTTTACCATTAATTCCTGAATCTTTGTCTGTAATGCTAATGAGAGAAATGACTGTTCCTGGTTTTGCGTCCTCAGAAACAATATTAGAAAGAGACGTAACGTCAATCTCAGGCTCATTATCATTCACATCTATAATTTTAATGATAACTCTGCAGTCGGTATTTAGTGGAGGACGTCCTTTATCAGATGCCATGATGTTCAGACTATATATTTCATTTTCTTCAAAATCTATTTTTCCTTTTACTCGTATTTCACCAGTTACTTTATCCAACTCAAACATATCATGCACTTTACGCTGTACATTTCTGCCGTAAGTATATTCCACTTCTCCATTAACGCCTTCATCTGGGTCAGTTGCGTTAACAAATGTAACCCTGAAACCGGGAGACGCGTTCTCATTTAAAGTAATAGTGTATGTGTCTCGGTTGCAAATTGGCCGGTTGTCATTTACATCGAGCACTGTGACTGTAATATTTAATGTGCCTGATTTTGGAGGATTTCCACCATCAACTGCAGTCAATGTTAAGAGGTGTTTCTCTTTATTCTCCCTATCTAGGGGTTTCTGTAAGAGTAGAAAGGGACTTTTATCCCCGTATTCACTGTCTCTTGTTTCTATGTCAAAATTATCATTTTGTAAGAGCCGATAAGACCGGATAGAGTTAACACCGACATCCAAATCTCGTGCGGTAGGGACACCAAAACGAGTGCCTTTTAATGTGTTCTCTGCTATTTCAATATGCAAGTCTTTTTCTGGAAATGAAGGCGAGTGATCATTTACATCTGTTATCTCAACCTCAACATAGTGAACCTCGAGTGGATTTTCAACAGCAATCTTTAAATTCAGCACACACGCAGCATTGCCATCACAAATCTCCTCTCGGTCGATTTTCTTATGAACAAACAGGATGCCATTGTTCTGATTTACCTGGAAAAAGCTGTCCCTGGATCCAGAAACGATACGAAATTTTCTGTGCTCTAATGAACTTACATCAAGACCGAGATCCTTAGCGATATTCCCCACATGTGTTCCTTCTTTCACCTCCTCCGGAACCGAATATCTGATCTGTGCTGAAACGCGCTGCATACAATGCAGGATCAAACACAAAGCAATCCACCAGCTCCACAATCTGCGCCTTTGTCTATCCTTAGCCATCGCGAGCGATTAAAGGTAGAGTAGTCCAGAACCAGACATGTATCGTTCGTGTTTTACGCACAAAAAGATAAACGATTTAGAGTCAGCATTCAGCTAAACCGTGCAAAGGGTGTGCTATGGCGTGAAGCTACCGTAAACATAGATTCCTCGGCTCACACTGGTCCTAAAATGTAGAGAACTAAACAGGACTGCGCATGTCACCATGTAGGGCAGAGCAAAATCCTCCAATATAGAGCAATGCTGACACCGAGCGGTCTATTGTTTAGTTCAAACTAAATCTTAATCCTTTAAATAATACTGAAGGTTTAGGAGCTCTGCGGATGCAGAGTAAAATGTCACATTCACTCATGAGCAAAAGTATTAAATGTTTTTTAAGTGAATGTTTCATTATATAAGTGAATATCTTTATGCAGAGAGAGAGAGAGAGAGAGAGAGAGAGAGAGAGAGAGAGAGAGAGAGAGAGTGAGAGAGAGAGAGAGAGAGAGAGAGAGAGATAGCATATGATTTGCAAAACTTTCCTTTATAAATAAATACGATGAAATTAACAAACATTATTTATGTAGGTATTCCAAAAAAATGCCTGAACTCTGTATTTGAGAAGTTATGTGGAACTTAAATTGTAAATTAAATACATAAATTTAACAATATAACACGTATAAAAAGTTTGTAAGGTATAGGCGATTAAGTGGAGAAAATAAAAACAAGAGACACCAAATGTGGGATGAAAACATTGTGAACCGATCGCTTTATTAAACTCATCAGAATCATTTCTTAATTGGGAAAACCACCACGTCAACTCCAGCTCAGAGCTCTTAAAGGGGAAACACATCACGAATAACTCGTGAATTCCCTCACATGTATAAATGTATGCCGCCACAGTAAAAGTATTTTAAAAAATAGTTTTAAAATATGACCGAAGTATACTGTTACCATCTAATTTCAGCGCCGGTATAGATCATTATTATTATTATTATTATTATTATTATTTACAAAATACCTTTTGACGACTAAAGGGGAAGTCTTGATATCAAAAACAAGTTGTTTTACCATATTTAAGGGTAACTAAAAATATATTTTTGAACAAGCCTGTTCTCAAGAAACTCTAGTTTCAGCACCAAGGAAGCGAACAGCTCCCTGCGATCCGTACTTATAATACAAACAACACATTGAGAAGGTTTTTGTATTATAGGAAAACTACTTTGTTAACAGAAAACACATTTGCAGCTTCTCGAAAAAAATAAATAAAACATGATTACTCCAAGTTAAACTGTAATTTCAGTACCAGAAGAGCGAATGATTAGGTTACTTAAAAACACAACCAGGCAAAGCCCGAAAAAAAAATCACGATATAAAATCATTGGCAATTGCAAGACAAAAGTTCAGCAAAAATCACACCTAATGATTTTGAAAATATAAATAATCGAATTATAACGACAGAATGTAAATATATATATATTTGACAGGTTATTCTTACCTCTCCAGAGTCTCTCCTCCTGCGATCTGGTATGACTAGAGTATTCCTATTACTGCCTGGTGCTATAGTAGAGCCGATACTCATTCTGGGTCCAACTAACATGTAGCGTTTGTCTCCAGATCTGTACTGGATGCTGTGACACAGAGTCCCGTCATAATTTGTGTCCTGTAAATACTTGGACGAATAGTCTGTAGATTTGGAGCACTGCATTACAATCAACACGATGATGCTGATGACGAAAAGCACCGAAACCGAGCCCAAAGTGATGATCAAATAAAATGTCACGTTGTTTTCCTCCTCGTCTTTCTCTGCGTTTTTAACATCAGAAGCTGCAAAAGCCTCTTTGGGCTCCACAACTTTGACAATCACAGTCGCTGTTGCTGAGAGGGAAACGTTCCCATTGTCTTTGACCAGTATGACCAGTTTATGCTGGGCCTCGTCTGTTTCTGTGAATGAGCGAAGGGTCCTTATCTGTCCTGTATAGCGGTCCAAAGCAAAGAGACTGTGCTCACTAACTTCCTGCAGTGAGAATAATAACCAGCCGTTGTATCCTATATCTGCGTCATAGGCTCTGACTTTAGTCACCAAATGACCTGCGTTCACATTACGGGGAATCTCTTCCACACCCTCAGCAGAACCGTTAGCGCTGACTGGATATAAGATCACTGGAACGTTGTCGTTCTGGTCCAGAATAAACACGTTCACTGTCACGTTACTGCTCAGAGACGGACTTCCAGAGTCTGTGGCGAGCACGTGAAAGTGGGATGTTTTTAACATCTCAAAATCAAAGCTCTTCAGCGAATAAACAACACCTGTCTCAGAATTAATATTCAAGTAAGAGGACATATCAGTCTGTGATCCATCACCTCTAATTATATGATACGATATCACGGCATTTTCAGCAGAGTCTTTATCAGATGCAGAGACTGAAATTATGGACGAACCTGCAGCATTGTTTTCCATCAGGTAAAGATCTAGAGGATTTATGCTAAATTCTGGAGCATTATCATTCACATCAGAAATCTGAACGCTTAGAGTGGTCGATGCAGTCAAAGACGGCTGTCCTAAATCAGAGGCTGTTATTGTAATGTCATACTGTGAGTGAGTCTCTCTGTCTAAGCGATCTTTTGTCACTAAAGAGTACATGTTGTCTTTAAAAGAAGGCTTTAGCTCAAAGGGAACATTTTTATTCAACTGACAGATGACTTTACCGTTTATCCCGGCGTCTTTATCGGTCACACTGATCAGAGAAATCACCGTTCCGGGTTTAGAATCTTCAGGAATGTTCTTAGAAAGTGACGTAATCTCAATCTCAGGGCTGTTGTCATTCACGTCAATAATCTTAATAACAACTCTGCTGTTTGCAGACATTGATGGATGTCCCTTATCTGAGGCTTGAATATCGAGTTTATAAACTTCTGTATCTTCAAAATCCACTGCCCCTTTTACACGTATTTCACCTGTGACTGGGTCGAGCTCAAAAACATCATGCTCTTTGCTGTGTAAAGTTGTGAAGCTGTATTCGATATTACTATTCATTCCTTCATCCATATCAGTTGCGTTTACTCGAACGACCACAGTGCCAATAAGAGAGTTTTCTTGCAGTGTTGCAGAATATGTGTCTCGACTAAACACGGGGCGGTTGTCATTTATATCGAGAATAGTAATAGTAATGTTAAGAGTGCCCGATTTCGGAGGATTTCCTCCGTCTACTGCTGTTAAAAGCAGTTTGTAAATTGTAGTAATCTCCCTATCAACAGCCTTCTTCAGGACTAAAAACGGCTTCTTATCCTCATCATTCTCTCTCACTCGAATTTCAAAATGATCATTAGTACTTAATTTATATGACCGGACCGAGTTAGTACCATAATCAGGATCTCTGGCAGCCTGTAACTGATAGTCAGCACCAGGTAGTGTACTTTCGGAAATTCTTAAATGCTGCTCTTTTTCAGGAAATCTAGGAAAATGATCATTTATATCAGATATATCTACTTCTACATAATGAATCTCAAGAGGATTTTCAATAACAGTTTTTAAATTAACCATACAGACACCACTGCCAACACACAGAGACTCTCTGTCGATTTTCTTATGAACATACAAAACGCCATTGTCCTGATTTATCTGAAAAAGCTCCTCCTTAGATCCAGAAACCACACGAAACTGTCTGTCCACCAAGCTACTTACTTCAAGACCCAAATCCTTAGCAATATTTCCAACAACGGTTCCTTCTTTGACTTCTTCTGGAACAGAATATCGTATCTGAGCTGAAACCTGCTGTCCGATGATCAGAAAATAAATACACAAAGCAATCCAGCAGTTCTCCCGTCTGCGCCTTTGTCCTCCCGCTTCCATCGCGACCAGGTAGAAAACGGGATCAAATGTTTATATCCTCGATTATTCGATGTCGTATTGGATGTTAATGGTAAGAAAATCATGTACAAACAACAACATATGGAAATGATAATGTTATGTCCCGGTAATACAGCGTTTGTGCATGCCGAGCATTGAGTGTGTGTGCGTAAAAAAAGGAGAAAAAAACAACACACCCCTAATGGCGTCACGATCAAGGGTAGGGTTTATTATCTTAGACAAATACTGGAGCAACACCGACACCGAGTGGTATTGGAAATAAAAACAACTAAAAAACAATTAATACAGACATAATAATATACGCAGCTTATTTATATAAGTTATTAGCCTTCTTGTGACATTTTAAGTCTTTTAAAAAATCGCTTATATATATATATATATATATATATATATATATATATATATATATATATATATATATATATATATATATATATCAAATGTATAGTAAATAAATGTAGGATATTGGCAGAATAAACTAGATACATAGGCATAGGTTCAAAACTGAATTCACTCCTCTAATCTCAATTTTGTTTTTATGACTTCTGAAACAGATCGTTAAACTTTTCAATTCTCAAGAAACAGCATCAAATTTCAGCACCAACTGAAGGGCAGCTCCCCGCCGTTCGTCATGACTCATAATATATTTCAGATTGAAGGTGTCAAGAAATGAAATAACATATTCAGCTCGATAATGTCATAAATAAGTAGAAATATAGTACTTACATCAAAATGACTTATAAAAATAATTGCTTCATGGCTATTGCTATTGAAATTAATCTGATTTCTTACCTCTCCAGAGTCTCTCCTCCTGCGATCTGGTATGACTAGAGTGTTCCTATTACTGCCTGGTGCTATAGTAGAGCCGATACTCATTCTGGGTCCAACTAACATGTAGCGTTTGTCTCCAGATCTGTACTGGATGCTGTGACACAGAGTCCCGTCATAATTTGTGTCCTGTAAATACTTGGACGAATAGTCTGTAGATTTGGAGCACTGCATTACAATCAACACGATGATGCTGATGACGAAAAGCACCGAAACCGAGCCCAAAGTGATGATCAAATAAAATGTCACGTTGTTTTCCTCCTCGTCTTTCTCTGCGTTTTTAACATCAGAAGCTGCAAAAGCCTCTTTGGGCTCCACAACTTTGACAATCACAGTCGCTGTTGCTGAGAGGGAAACGTTCCCATTGTCTTTGACCAGTATGACCAGTTTATGCTGGGCCTCGTCTGTTTCTGTGAATGAGCGAAGGGTCCTTATCTGTCCTGTATAGCGGTCCAAAGCAAAGAGACTGTGCTCACTAACTTCCTGCAGTGAGAATAATAACCAGCCGTTGTATCCTATATCTGCGTCATAGGCTCTGACTTTAGTCACCAAATGACCTGCGTTCACATTACGGGGAATCTCTTCCACACCCTCAGCAGAACCGTTAGCGCTGACTGGATATAAGATCACTGGAACGTTGTCGTTCTGATCCAGAATAAACACGTTCACTGTCACATTACTGCTCAGAGATGGACTTCCAGAGTCTGTGGCGAGCACGTGAAAGTGAAACTTTTTAACTACTTCAAAATCAAATCGGTTTAACGCGTAAATAACCCCTGTCTCGGAGTTAATGTTTAAGTAAGATGCCATATCATTTTGCGCGGAGTCACTTTTAATAATACTGTATATAATCATTGCGTTTTTATCTAAATCCTTATCAGATGCTGTCACGGATAGTATGGCGGCCCCAGGCGCGTTGTTTTCCATTAAATATAACTCCATCGGGTCATGAGAAAATTCAGGTGGGTTATCATTAACATCTGACACCTGCACGCTTAGAGATTTAAAGGAGGACAAAGGAGGTTGTCCTAAATCAGTGACTGATATTATTATATCATAATGGGACATTAGTTCTCGATCTAGTTTTCCCTTAGTCACAAGGGAATAAACATTTTCTTGAAATGACGGTTTCAGCTCAAAGGGTGCATTGTCAGAGACACTTGGTACTGTCTTTCCATTTATACCAGAGTCTTTGTCACTGATGCTGATTAACGAAATTAGAGTACCAGGTTTAGAATCTTCAGAAACTATACTGGAAAGCGACGTGAGGTCTATTTCAGGTGCGTTATCATTATTGTCTATTATCTTAATTGTAACAACAGATTCAACAGTCAATGGAGGCTGGCCTTTATCAGATGCCTGCACGTCTAATTTGTACACCTCTGATTCCTCGAAATCCAGCACATCTTTAATCTGAATTTCTCCTGTTGTGCTATCTAGTTTAAAGAGATCATAAACTTTGCGCTTTGAGTTCCTTCCAAATGTATACTCCACAACTCCATTTGAGCCCTCGTCCAAGTCGGTTGCGTTAAGTTTTAGCAATACTGTTCCGATTGCAGCATTTTCTTTTACTGTTACAGAATATGACTCTTGACTGAATACAGGTCGGTTGTCATTAACATCAAGCACAGCAACAATTACATTAAGATTCCCTGACCGTGGAGGATTTCCACCATCGACTGCAGTAAGTATTAATCTGTGCTCAGCGGCTTTTTCACGATCAAGAGCTTTCTTTAAAACCAAAATCGGTAATTTTTCTTCATCTCTATTCATCGTCTCCACTTCGAAATGCTCATTCTGACTCAGTTTATACGACCTGACGTTATTCACGGCCGTATCAGCATCCCGTGCTGCCTGTATTTGGAAACGCGTCCCTGTGGGTGTGTGCTCTGCAATCTCAAAATGCTGCTCCTCTTCAGTAAATGTGGGTGAATTATCATTAGCATCGGTTATCTCCACCACGACGTAATGTATTTCTAAAGGATCTTCGACCACCATTTTCAGATTAATCAAGCATGCGCCGTTTCCATCACAGAGGTCCTCTCTGTCAATGTTCTTATGGACATATAACACGCCATTGTTTTGATTTACCTGAAAAAGCGCGTCCTTAGATCCAGACACGATGCGAAACCTCCGCTTAACTAAAGCGCTGACATCGAGGCCAAGATCTTTAGCAATATGCCCTACAACAGATCCTTCTTTCGATTCCTCCGGAACAGAATATCTTATCTGGCCTGAAACATGTTTTCCGAAGCACAAAGAGAGGCACAGAGAAATCCACAAGCACTCCCATCCGCGCCTTTGTCCTCCGGGTTCCATTGCAAGTGTTTCCAGCACCGTTACTCAAATAATCAATATATTCTAGCTGATTATACGCCACAATTTAGTGTTAGATGCATCGTGGAAAAAAAATTATTAACCGTAAATACTGTTAGCACAGCATATTGCTGTTATGCTGCCCATAAGCTCGCGAATGGTTCCTCGTAAATGTGAGGGGAAAATACAGCCCTTTTACGTCACCAGGGCAGGACTAAATCTGTTCCACATTACTAGGGCAACAGTGGCATCGCGTGGTCCACAGAAAGACAAGTTCACATATTTTCCATTATGATTTTTGTACAAAACAAAAATAAAAACTGCATCTAAGCACAAAACTTACACAACAGACGCGCTTTTAAAAAATACGCAACGCACAAAGCAGCGTGAGAAGGTGTGTGTGAGCATAATAGATGCGCAATTAATGCATAACGAAAATGCATTCAATGAAATGCTTGAAAAAAGCAGTGTATGCACATTCCCGGTCCATTTAAAAAGCAACCGCGACTAAATTCAGCACCAACGCAAGTGGACAGTTCACCAGGACTGTAGGCTGCTTCTAATGTACTTCAAAACGTGGATATCTAAACAAGTACCCACTCACTTTATCCATAATAAGGACAACACTTTGTACCGTTTAGCCTCATCAGTTATATATGTGTATATATATATATATAGGCCTATATATATATATATATATATATATATATATATATATATATATATATATATATATATATATATATATATATAACTTTATAGTCTTCAAGTAAAAACTTTTTACTTCTAATTAAATTTATTAAATGCATTTTTTTAAAACCAACATCGTGAAGCCAAAATGAGATTAAAATGAATCAGCCAGTCTTACCTCTCCAGAGTCTCTCCTCCTGCGATCTGGTATGACTAGAGTATTCCTATTACTGCCTGGTGCTATAGTCGAGCCGATACTCATTCTGGGTCCAACTAACATGTAGCGTTTGTCTCCAGATCTGTACTGGATGCTGTGACACAGAGTCCCGTCATAATTTGTGTCCTGTAAATACTTGGACGAATAGTCTGTAGATTTGGAGCACTGCATTACAATCAACACGATGATGCTGATGACGAAAAGCACCGAAACCGAGCCCAAAGTGATGATCAAATAAAATGTCACGTTGTTTTCCTCCTCGCCTTTCTCTGCGTTTTTAACATCAAAAGCTGCAAAAGCCTCTTTGGGCTCCACAACTTTGACAATCACAGTCGCTGTTGCTGAGAGGGAAACGTTCCCATTGTCTTTGACCAGTATGACCAGTTTATGCTGGGCCTCGTCTGTTTCTGTGAATGAGCGAAGGGTCCTTATCTGTCCTGTATAGCGGTCCAAAGCAAAGAGACTGTGCTCACTAACTTCCTGCAGTGAGAATAATAACCAGCCGTTGTATCCTATATCTGCGTCATAGGCTCTGACTTTAGTCACCAAATGACCTGCGTTCACATTACGGGGAATCTCTTCCACACCCTCAGCAGAACCGTTAGCGCTGACTGGATATAAGATCACTGGAACGTTATCGTTCTGGTCCAGAATAAACACGTTCACTGTCACGTTACTGCTCAGAGATGGACTTCCAGAGTCTGTGGCGAGTATGTTAAATTGGGATGTTTTTAACATCTCAAAATCAAAGCTCTTCAGCGAATAAACAACACCTGTTTCAGAATTAATATTCAAGTAAGAGGACATATCAGTCTGTGATCCATCACCTCTAATTATATGATACGATATCACGGCATTTTCAGCAGAGTCTTTATCAGATGCAGAGACTGAAATTATGGACGAACCTGCAGCATTGTTTTCCATCAGGTAAAGATCTAGAGGATTCATGCTAAATTCTGGAGCATTATCATTCACATCAGAAATCTGAACGCTTAGAGTGGTCGATGCAGTTAAAGACGGCTGTCCTAAATCAGAGGCTGTTATTGTAATGTCATACTGTGAGTGAGTCTCTCTGTCTAAGCGATCTTTTGTCACTAAAGAGTACATGTTGTCTTTAAAAGAAGGCTTTAGCTCAAAGGGAACATTTTTATTCAACTGACAGATGACTTTACCGTTTATCCCGGCGTCTTTATCGGTCACACTGATCAGAGAAATCACCGTTCCAGGTTTACAATCTTCAGGAATGTTCTTAGAATGTGACGTAATCTCAATCTCAGGGCTGTTGTCATTCACATCAATAATCTTAATAACAACTCTAGATTTTGCAGACATTGGTGGATGCCCCTTATCAGAGGCCTGAATATCGAGTTTATAAACTTCTGTATCTTCAAAATCCACTGTCCCTTTTACACGTATTTCGCCTGTGACCTGATCGAGCTCAAAAACTTTGTGCTCTTTGCTGTTTAACGTTGCAAAGCTGTACTCAATATCACCATTCGATCCCTCATCAATATCAGTCGCATTTACTCGAACAACTACAGTGCCAATAACAGAGTTCTCTTGCAGTGTTGCAGAATATGTCTCTCGACTAAACACAGGTCGATTATCATTTATATCCAAAACAGTTACATTAATGTTAAGAGTTCCAGATTTCGGAGGATTTCCTCCGTCTACTGCTGTTAAAAGCAGATTGAATGTCATTGAAATCTCCCTATCAACAGCCTTCTTCATAACTAAAAATGGTATTTTATCCTCATCATTCTCTCTCACTTGAATTTCAAAATTATCATTAGGGGTTAATTTATATGACCGGACTGAATTACTCCCAGAATCAGCATCTCTGGCAGCCTGTAATTGATAATCAGCTCCAGGTTGCGTATTTTCATAGATTTTTAGACTTTGCTGTTTTTCAGGAAAAATCGGAGAGTGGTCGTTTATATCTAAAATCTCTACTTCTACATAATGCATCTCCAAAGGATTTTCGATAACAGTTTTTAAATTAACCATACAGACACCACTGCCAACACACAGAGACTCTCTGTCGATTTTCTTATGAACGTATAAAACGCCATTGTCCTGGTTTATCTGAAAAAGCTCCTCCTTAGATCCTGAAACGATTCGAAACTGTCTGTCCACCAAGCTACTTACTTCAAGACCCAAATCCTTAGCAATATTTCCAACAACGGTTCCTTCTTTGACCTCTTCTGGAATAGAATATCGTATCTGAGCTGAAACCTGCTGTCCGATGATCAGAAAATAAATACACAGAGCAATCCAGCAGTTCCCCCGTCTGCGCCTTTGTCCTCCCGCTTCCATCGCGAGCCGGTAGAAAACGGGATCAAGTGTTTATATCCTCGATTATTCGATGTCGTATTGGATGTTTATGGTAAGAAAATCAAGTACAAACAACAACATTTGGAAATTATAATGTTATGTCCCGGTAATACAGCGTTTGTGCATGCCGAGCATTAAGTGTGTGTGCGTAAAAAGAGGAGAAAAAAACAGCACACCCCTAATGGCGTCACGATCAAGGGCAGGGTTTAATATCTTGGACAAATACTGGAGTAACACCGACACCGAGTGGTATTGGAAATAAAAAATCACTTTAAAAGCATTACTTATTACACACACATAAGCAGCTTATTTATATAAATTATAGCCCTCCTTTGACATTTTAATTGTTTTATAAATATATATACACACACCCACAAACACATCGTAATACCCAATAGGTTAAAGTAACTCAAACCATTTGAGCAAACCGATTGCAACAAACTATTTAAGTTTAAAAATAAATCCTAACGAGTACTGTGAACTTACTCAATTTTAGTAAATGAATTTGAGCACAGTAAAACCCAAATAAATGAAGAGAACTGAAACCAGCTGAGTACTGTAAAACCCAATAAGTTAAGGCACCTCAAACCGGTACAGGAAACCGATTGCTACAAACCATTTGAGTAAATAAATAAATAAATAAATAAATATATATATATATATATATATATATATATATACTGTGAGTACTGTGAACTTACTCCATTTTAAGTTGAAGTAATGAGGCATTTAATTAATTTAATACCTTCAACACAGTGTTCAAAACTCTTTTCAAATGAGTAGAATTAATTTTCAGTAATTTTGGAGTTGACTACACTCATTCCATTCGATAAAGTTGACTGTTGGGTTTTGCAGTGTATATTGGTATGACTCCCTCGTTTGAGTCGCGACATAAAAGAGCTCAGACAACAAAAGGATCTATATGCAACCTATTTATTATACATAAAACTAATAGAACAACAAATCAAGAAACAAACAAATGTCTATGGATAAATGAAGAATATAACTGACTTTAACTTCATGTATAAATGATGCCAAACGAAACCATAAGGTTAAATAATTAAAGAGATGGTCCACACCGTCCTCCTGAAGCCAGCACATCATTCTTATTTATATGATCTAAACCAATTGGTGAGCAAGCAGCAACCCAATCAGCATCTGCCACATCCAAACTGCTATCCCGGGGTCGTCACAATATATAAAAAAAATGTATAGTAGATAAATCTATTAGCAGAATGAACAAAATACAATTTCACAAGTTCAATTTGGTTTTTTTATGACTGCCAATACAGCTCGGTAAACTTGTAATTATTTTAAATTCTGAAGGAACTGCATCTAATGTCAGCACTAAGGAAGGGGACAGCTCCCTGCCATTCGCCGTCACTCATAATATATTTCAGATTAAAGGTGTCAACAAATGAACATATTCAGCTCTATGATATCATAATGTGTAAAAATATAACACTTTTTTTTTTAAATGACTTATAAAAATTATCGCAACATAGATAATGCTATTGAAATTAATCAGCCAGTCTTACCTCTCCAGAGTCTCTCCTCCTGCGATCTGGTATGACTAGAGTATTCCTATTACTGCCTGGTGCTATAGTAGAGCCGATACTCATTCTGGGTCCAACTAACATGTAGCGTTTGTCTCCTGATCTGTACTGGATGCTGTGACACAGAGTCCCGTCATAATTTGTGTCCTGTAAATACTTGGACGAATAGTCTGTAGATTTGGAGCACTGCATTACAATCAACACGATGATGCTGATGACGAAAAGCACCGAAACCGAGCCCAAAGTGATGATCAAATAAAATGTCACGTTGTTTTCCTCCTCGTCTTTCACTGCGTTTTTAACATCAGAAGCTGCAAAAGCCTCTTTGGGCTCCACAACTTTGACAATCACAGTCGCTGTTGCTGAGAGGGAAACGTTCCCATTGTCTTTGACCAGTATGACCAGTTTATGCTGGGCCTCGTCTGTTTCTGTGAATGAGCGAAGGGTCCTTATCTGTCCTGTATAGCGGTCCAAAGCAAAGAGACTGTGCTCACTAACTTCCTGCAGTGAGAATAATAACCAGCCGTTGTATCCTATATCTGCGTCATAGGCTCTGACTTTAGTCACCAAATGACCTGCGTTCACATTACGGGGAATCTCTTCCACACCCTCAGCAGAACCGTTAGCGCTGACTGGATATAAGATCACTGGAACGTTGTCGTTCTGGTCCAGAATAAACACGTTCACTGTCACGTTACTGCTCAGAGATGGACTTCCAGAGTCTGTGGCGAGTATGTGGAACTGGAACTTTTTAACTGTTTCAAAATCAAAACTTTTAAGTGCGTAAACTGCGCCTGTCTCCGAATTGACATTTAGGAAAGATGTCAAATCACTTTGTGATCCATTCCCTTTAATAATCTGGTATGAAATGATAGCATTTTCATTTAGATCTTTATCAAAAGCACTAAGCGTGAGAATGGGCGCTCCTGCAGCATTGTTTTCAATCATATATAATTCGACAGGATTTAGACTAAATTCAGGTGGGTTATCGTTTACATCTGACACCTGCACGCTCAGAGTCTTATAAGAGGACAGCGGAGGCTGACCCAAGTCAGTAGCTGTTATTGTAATGTCAAAATGAGATAAAGTTTCACGATCCAGTTTCCCTTTAGTCACTAAAGAGAACATGTTTTCCTGAACTGATGGTTTTAATTCAAAGGGAACATGCTCTGAGAGAGAACACACAACTCTCCCGTTAATACCGGTGTCTCTATCAGTAACACTAATGAGTGAGATTAGAGTACCAGGCTTGGAATCCTCAGACACGACATTCGAAAGTGACGTCACTTCAATAGTAGGCTTATTATCATTTAAGTCAAGTATTTTTATTATTACTCTACAATCTGTGTTTAAAGGCGGCTGTCCACTGTCAACTGCCTGTATATCCAGTTTATAAACATTGTTCTTTTCAAAGTCAACCTCTCCAGTTACTCGTATTTCACCAGTTATTCGATCCAAGCTAAATATATGAAATATATTGTCGCTGTTGTCACCCCCAAAAGAGTACGACACTTCACCATTAGGGCCGTAATCAGAATCGCTTGCCATAACTTTCAATACTAATGTTCCAAGTTGCACGTTTTCGTGCACAGTTGAAGAATAGACATCATGGCTAAACATAGGGCGGTTATCATTGACGTCAAGCACAATTACTGTTATGTTCAGCGTTCCTGATCTTTGCGGATTGCCACCATCTATTGCTGTTAATATTAGATAATGTTCAGCTTTATTCTCCCGATCAAGAGGCTTTTGTAAAACCAGAAAAGGCAATTTGTCCTCTGCCCGGTCTCTTATTTCTAAATCAAAATGCTCATTTTGACTTAATTTATACGAGCGCACAGAATTCACTCCACTATCGGGGTCACGCGCAGCTTGCAGCTGAAAACGCGTCCCTATTAGAGTGTTTTCAGAAATTTCTAATCGCTTTTCTTTTTCTGTGAATGTTGGCGAGTGATCGTTAACATCAGTTATTTCAACTGCAATATAATGAATCTCAAGTGGATTTTCCACCACTATTTTAAGATTAATCAAGCATGCTCCAATACCATCACACAGCTCCTCTCTGTCGATTTTCCTTTGAACACGCAAGACACCATTGTTCGGATTTACCACGAACTGCGAATCATCCGATCCTGAAACGATGCGAAATCGCCTGTCCATCAAACTGCTGACATCAAGTCCCAAATCCTTGGCGATATTTCCCACAACAAATCCCTCTTTTACTTCCTCTGGAATCGAGTATCTTATTTGAGCTGAAAGCTGCTGCCCAAAGCACAGAATAAAGCAGAAACAGATGATCATCCACCAGTGCTCCCCTGTGCGCCTTTGTCCTCCAGCTTCCATTGCGAAGGATGGCGAAATCCAAAATTATATGACACTACCTAAGCGGATCATACATTTATCTTAACTGAAAAATACAAAATAACAATAAGTACACACGAAAAGGCAGCATCTGCCACCGTTACGCTGTCTTCAGATGTCTTCAAATAGAAATCATCCACCCTTTGCGCTTTGCCTGATGCAAACTAGAATATTGGGGGCAGGGTGAACACACACTTTCCTTGTACAACGATGACACCGTGAGGTTTCTTTAAAATGTCACATATCTGCAATACAGCTCTCTACGTCTGATTGTATATATCCAACATCATATATCAGAAATACACATCACGGCAAAACAAAGGACGGTTATCATTGACGTCAAGTACAATTACTATTGTTGAGTGTTCCAGGTTTTGCGGATTGCCACCATCTATTGCTGTTAATATTAAATAATGTTCAGCTTTGTTCTTCCGATCAAGGGTCTTTTGTAAAACCAGAAACGACAATGTATCTTCTGCCATGTCCTTTATATCTAAAACATGCTCGTTTTGACTTAATTTATACAAGCGCACAGAATTCACACCACTATCAGGGTCACTCGCAGCTTGCAGCTGAAATCGAAATATATATGGGGAATTTAATTACATTTTCCCCAGAACAATGACTATTATATTGCACGTGCACATCCATATGTACCACATTTTGCGGCTAGTCCAGCAACCAGTATTTGAAAAAACGCGAGTAGGACCGAATCGTATTTTTAAAAAAAAGTTTACTGAAGAAATGCAAAACTAAATCACAAAGGTAGAGACTCGATATAGCTCGGCCAAAAAAACTGTTGCTTCCAACATCCATAACTGCAATCTAAACGTACAAACTAATTATACATCATGACGTATTTCTGTCGGATGAAAAAAAAAAAAAAAAAACAAAGTAAAAGTTTTTAATTCGTATCAATTATTGAATTATGCATTTTAGATAATACAATTTTTATGAACTCTTATTATATTTAAATATCAATGATCACCATGTTTAACCATTTTAACTAAATAATGATCACAAATGAATTATGCATGACTGGCTCTTACACTGGTTATGGAAATTTGGATGACTTTAAAAACAAACAACAGCAACAACAACCATCATTACCAAACAAGTAATCAGTATTATCATAAGAACGCTGAATTGCTAAGCAGGCGCAATAACCCATTTTAGAATCAGTCAGATGAATTCTCATTAGAATTTTCCAGTAGCATTATTGGATAACGCACAACATTTAAAGCTTAACATGTTAGTTCTAAATACCGGTTAATATATATATATATATATATATATATATATATATATATATATATATTACATAGCGAGTGCTCTTCCAGCTGTAACCCATCACTGGGAAACACCCAAACACCTGACTTAGTTTTTCTCTTCTACTTCATGAACAATTAAATTCCAATACCAAAACAAGGCATGACATTAAAGCAAGAGAACTTTATGAGAAAGACAAAAGATACTTTAACCTTACACAAATGACAAATGTTAATCGAGTCTTACCTCTCCAGAGTCTCTCCTCCTGCGATCTGGTATGACTAGAGTATTCCTATTACTGCCTGGTGCTATAGTCGAGCCGATACTCATTCTGGGTCCAACTAACATGTAGCGTTTGTCTCCAGATCTGTACTGGATGCTGTGACACAGAGTCCCGTCATAATTTGTGTCCTGTAAATACTTGGACGAATAGTCTGTAGATTTGGAGCACTGCATTACAATCAACACGATGATGCTGATGACGAAAAGCACCGAAACCGAGCCCAAAGGGATGATCAAATAAAATGTCACGTTGTTTTCCTCCTCGTCTTTCTCTGCGTTTTTAACATCAGAAGCTGCAAAAGCCTCTTTGGGCTCCACAACTTTGACAATCACAGTCGCTGTTGCTGAGAGGGAAACGTTCCCATTGTCTTTGACCAGTATGACCAGTTTATGCTGGGCCTCGTCTGTTTCTGTGAATGAGCGAAGGGTCCTTATCTGTCCTGTATAGCGGTCCAAAGCAAAGAGACTGTGCTCACTAACTTCCTGCAGTGAGAATAATAACCAGCCGTTGTATCCTATATCTGCGTCATAGGCTCTGACTTTAGTCACCAAATGACCTGCGTTCACATTACGGGGAATCTCTTCCACACCCTCAGCAGAACCGTTAGCGCTGACTGGATATAAGATCACTGGAACGTTGTCGTTCTGGTCCAGAATAAACACGTTCACTGTCACGTTACTGCTCAGAGATGGACTTCCAGAGTCTGTGGCGAGTATGTGGAACTGAAACGTTTTTACAGATTCAAAGTCAAAACTTTTCAGCGCATGGATGTGTCCATTGTCTGCATTTACATTAAGGAAGGACGACATATGACTTCTTGTTCCCTCTTCTCTAATTATTTGATAGGTTATTGCAGCGTTTTCGTTTAAGTCCCTATCGAATGCACTGACAGAATATATAGATGCTCCTGGAGCATTATTTTCCATTAAGTACAGCTCTAAAGGATTATGAACAAATTCTGGAGCATTATCATTTACATCTGATATCTGCACTTTCAGAGTTTTGATTGAAGACAGAGGCGGCTGACCGAGATCTGTGGCTGTTATTGTAACATCATAATGAGACGTGAGCTCTCTATCTAACTTTGCATTCGTCACAAGAGAGTACATGTTGTCTTTAAATGAGGGCTTCAATTCGAAAGGCACATCATCAGATATCCTACAAACAACTTTGCCATTTACTCCAGAATCTTTATCAGTAATACTAACGAGTGAAATGACGGCCCCTGGCTTTGAATCTTCGGGAACTACATCAGACAGAGAGGTAACCTCTATCTCTGGTGCATTATCGTTTTCGTCAATGACTTTAATGATAATTCTACAGTTGCTTGTCTTGGGTGGTTGACCTTTGTCTGACGCCATAACAGCGATTCTATAAACATTATTTTTCTCAAAGTCTAAACTTCCCTTTACTCTAATCTCCCCAGTGTTATCCAAATCAAAAGTGTCATAAATATATTTTTCAATATTCTTTACGAACGAATATACAATTTCGCCATTCTGACCTTCATCTAAATCAGTGGCATTCAGTTTAATCACAAGAGTACCAAGAGGAGCGTTTTCTCTCAGTGAAACAGAATATAGTTCCTGGCTGAATTTCGGCCTGTTATCATTATCGTCCAGCACTGTGACGTTAATAACAGTGCTTCCAGATCGCGGTTGATTGCCACCGTCGACAGCAGTCACTATCAGACTATGAATAACCTGACGCTCCCGGTCGAGTGATTTGCGTAATTTTAAGACCGGGACTTTTTTCTCTCCTCCATTTTCTCGAAGCTCTATTTCAAAATACTCAGTCTGGCTCAGTTTATAAAAACGAACCGAATTTACTCCCGAATCTGGATCATATGCTTCCTGCAACTGGAAGTCCTCGCCAGGTATGGTTGATTCTTGAATTTCCAACAAGACGTCTTTATTAGCAAAACTGGGTGCATGGTCGTTCACATCGGTAATTTCCACTTCTACATAATGGATTTCAAGAGGATTTTCAACAACAGTTTTCAGGCTTATCAAGCAAGCAGTATTTCCGTCGCACAGCGCCTCTCTGTCGATAAGCTTCCCCACATATAGCATGCCATTGTTCTGATTTACCTGAAAAAGGGCGTCATTTGATCCAGAGACAATACGGAACCGTCTGTCCAACAATGTACTGACATCAAGACCTAAATCCTTCGCAATATTTCCCACAATCGTTCCCTCTTTTACCTCCTCTGGAATAGAGTATCTTATCTGAGCTGAAACCCGCTGTCCGAGGCATGTAAGCAAATAGAAAAGCAGAGAAATCCACCAGTACTCCCATCTGCGTCTTTGTTCTCCAGCTTCCATGCTCAAAACTGTCGTATAAAGATCAAGTGTACTGCAATTTCTCCAGTTACCACACGAATCTATTAAATTATAAAGCAAATAAATCGAGAGCTTCCTTTACTCGAATATCACATGAATAATCCAGTGTTTTCAGCTGCTCGCACTGAAGGCGCAGTCAGCGCGCTGCAGACTATAGCTTAAAACACAGTGATGCAAAAAAAGATCCCTGCCCCAAAAACGGTTTCTTGTGTAATACTGACACCACGCGGACCATTACAACAGATCAAGATTTTTCCCTGCTTTCTTCTTTAGTAGATTTCTGCTCATAAACTGTAGCATACAGTCAAAGAGCACATGCTTAGTTTTATTAGACATTCATATATAGCACATTTGTCTGTTTGGTACCACAAAAATGTTCTGTTCCGCTGCAAAGATTAACACAATATATTTAAGGAAATTAACTTTTTTAAAAAGTAGGTAAAACAAATAAAACAGATAAATATATTAGTCTATAAAATATCAAATCCGACAATACGACAATGGAAAATGACGAATAGCTGTATGTGTGTATGGAGGACAAAACCTGCAAAAACAATACATAAATACGCAAATTGATGAATAAAGTAGTAAATAAATAAAAAATGTCAGCATAATTAAAACAATAAACAAATAAACACGCATATACATATATAAATCCACAAGTTCCTGCATAAATAAATATATAAATAATAATTAGTGCGAGCAGATAAATAATTAAATAACTTAGACGAATGTTGAGGAAATAAGAAAATGCTAAACTGAAAGTAGGTTTCTTAGTCTTTATGCCATCATTGGTTGATCATAAAAAAATTGCATTGGATTTTTTGACTGGCTTCAGGTTATTGATAAACACACTCTCATTAGCATGTTGAGCTGAAGACAAGTAAATCCGGAATTACGTTCAAAATTAATAAACGTTTAAATGTGGGAAAAAACTACTTTCAGTTTGGCATTTACTTATTCCCCAAACATTCCTGTAAATTATTTAATTATTCACCTGCCCGCATTATTAGTTATTTATGTATTTATTTATCCAGAATATTGTTGATTTATATATTTGTTTGAAAATTTGCATATTTATTTGTTTATTGTTTTATTCATGCAGGAATATATGGATTTATTTAGTCATGTATTTATTTAATTATTTGCATTTTTATTTATTTATTGCAGGTTTCGTCCTCTATACATGTGTATGTGACAATGCAAATTATAATAAAGAGTGCAAAAATAACAAATCATATGTTTACCTTTCCAAAGTCATGTAAATGCATCGACGAATAGTCTGGATATTTGGAGCACGGTGTTACTCAATACGATGATGCTGATAGAATAATGTACAGTAAATGTACAGAAACAACGGGTGTGTAGCTGAGAGGCGAGGAAAGGAAACGAAGATGCACGAATTAAAAATCAATAAACAATATTTTCTTCTTTTAAGAGCTTTTTTGTGGTTGGCAAACCAACTTCTGGTACATTACCCGCCTCCTACTGAGATGGAGGTATTGATAGCATTGAACGAGAAACTGTTTTTTTTTTTTTAAGACAATTATAAGAGCTTTAAAGTACATTTTGTAGAGTGATTTTTTTCTTGGCTGTGAATTATTTTTCTTTTATAGTCTAAACAATTAGGCAACGCATCCAAATAATTTCTGAAAATCCGTGCTCATTGAAGTGAATTATTTTAGATGCATTCAGCAATATTTGAAAAACGCTTTTGCCTACAAATCCCAGAACACGCTCGCTGCCAATCAACAGAAAGAGGCGTGTCTAATAATAGGAGCGTGGTACTGTTGGATTTTGCACGTTTGTTTTGGTGCTTTAATATCTTGATCACGTTCGTGAAAATTCGCGTAGTTTTCCATTAAGAGCAGTGTCATTGACTTTAAATATCACTCCATCTTCCTTCCTACTTCCATGAGTAATTCTATCAATTTTTTTTTTTTTTTTGCATCTTAAAATCGACCAGCACTATTATTCCATCTCACTTGCCATATTTTTCCAACAGCTTATTTTGTTACTATTTTTACTTATTTTACTACTTTATTTATTTATTTATTATTGCACCGTAAACATCTGTTATAAAAAGTTCCATAGCAAAACACATAGTCCAAGCAAGAAATGATCACAAATGCACACGCATTAAGCCACAATCCAGCGGAAGTAATCATGTATGTAATAAGGCCCAATTAAACAAAATATGCAAAACACAATTCAGAATGCAACAATTACAGAAACAAACAAACACAGAGTGGCAAAATAAATAAAACTTACGTTGAGCTGTAGAACATAACCGCGCTCCATGGACAAAGCTGAGCTGAGCGCTTTCTCAAAACCATGCCAAACATTTACCAAGTATCATTCTAATAAGATTGACACTTACTTTACAACCCTCCATAGTTACCTCTTGAGGTAGGGAGCACAATTACAATACTGATATGGAGCAGTTTACCTTGACTGTTTCAAAGTAAATAGCACCAATATTCCGCCATTAATATAAACTAATTCAGCACCATGGACAGCGTCGTATCCCTTCAAGGGATAGTTCACCCAAAACTTACAATTCTGCAATCATTTATTCACTCTATTCACTTTAAAGTAAAAGTATTATGAAAAATGTTTGAAGCATGTTACCATTATCATACATGGTAAAACAAACACTTATATGAAAGTCAAGGCTGAGTAAATTGTGGTAGAACTTACATATAACTATGTTTTAAATTTTATGCACGCTTTTTTGTACTTTCCATATATATATATATATATATATATATATATATATATATATATATATATATATATATATATATATATATATATAAAGCCAGTATAGCCTGTGTTATTCTAAAGGTTGGATATTTATTAAGACAGACATAAAAATGTGAGAAGTGATGTTTCAGCACCAAGGACAGTTATTCTACAATAGAAATGTGCCAACAATTATGTCCAAACAAATATTATTTCAAAATCTTACCTCTCCAGAGTCCCTCCTCCTGCGATCTGGTATGACTAGAGTATTCCTATTACTGCCTGGTGCTATAGTCGAGCCGATACTCATTCTGGGTCCAACTAACATGTAGCGTTTGTCTCCAGATCTGTACTGGATGCTGTGACACAGAGTCCCGTCATAATTTGTGTCCTGTAAATACTTGGACGAATAGTCTGTAGATTTGGAGCACTGCATTACAATCAACACGATGATGCTGATGACGAAAAGCACCGAAACCGAGCCCAAAGTGATGATCAAATAAAATGTCACGTTGTTTTCCTCCTTGTCTTTCACTGCGTTTTTAACATCAGAAGCTGCAAAAGCCTCTTTGGGCTCCACAACTTTAACAATCACAGTCGCTGTTGCTGAGAGGGAAACGTTCCCATTGTCTTTGACCAGTATGACCAGTTTATGCTGGGCCTCGTCTGTTTCTGTGAATGAGCGAAGGGTCCTTATCTGTCCTGTATAGCGGTCCAAAGCAAAGAGACTGTGCTCACTAACTTCCTGCAGTGAGAATAATAACCAGCCGTTGTATCCTATATCTGCGTCATAGGCTCTGACTTTAGTCACCAAATGACCTGCGTTCACATTACGGGGAATCTCTTCCACACCCTCAGCAGAACCGTTAGCGCTGACTGGATATAAGATCACTGGAACGTTGTCGTTCTGATCCAGAATAAACACGTTCACTGTCACGTTACTGCTCAGAGATGGACTTCCAGAGTCTTTAGCCACAACAAAGAAATGGAAAGTTTTTAGAGACTCAAAGTCAAAGCTCTTCAATGAGTAAACAGTGCCATTCGCCTCGTTAATACTCAAGAAAGATGTCATGCTTTGGTCTGAATTAATGCGATCGATTGTATATGAGACACGTGCGTTTTCTCCTTCATCTAAATCAGATGCGCTTAATGAGAAAACAGCAATGCCAGGCTTGTTGTTTTCGGTTACGTAGAATGTATAAGGGCTCTGAGCAAATTTAGGGCTGTTATCGTTAACATCCGTGACCTCCACGTGAATCGATCTTGTTGATGATAGTGAAGGAGATCCCAAATCCTTGGCTGTAATGGTTATATCATAAGACGACTTCGCTTCTTTATCGATGTTTTCTTTCGTTACCAGAGAATAAAAGTTTCCATCAGGCGAAGGTTTAAGATCAAAAGGAATATTCTTGGGCAGAGAGCAAATTATCTTCCCGTTCATACCCGAGTCCAGGTCTGTAACTCCAATCAAAGCTACTACAGTTCCAGGAGCGGCATCCTCAGGGATGTGGCTTGATAATGAAGTAACGTCAATCTCAGGCCGGTTATCATTAACATCTTCAACATTCACAAGCACGTTGCACTGTGTAGACAAAGACACAGCTCCTTTATCAGCAGCCAATATTTTTAACTCATAAACTTGTCTTTCTTCAAAATTTAGCCCTCCTTTAATCTTTAATTCCCCAGTTATATTATCCAAATCAAACACATCAGACGCTCCTTTCCTGAATTTATTCCGTAAAGAGTATTCAATTTCTCCATTCACGCCTTCATCTGAATCTGAAGCATTGACGCGGAGCAGAAATGTTCCTTCTGGTGCGTCTTCTTTCACTGTCACTGTGTATTTTTGTTTATCACAAACTGGAGTGTTATCATTAACATCTGACACTACTATAGTTATATTGGCTGCAGCTGATTTATGCGGCTTTCCGCCGTCCGTCGCAGTTAATATGAGGTTATGCCTTGCGCTTTTTTCTCTATCCAGAGGTTTTTGTAGAATGAGCACAGGAATCTTACCTTCATCTCCCATGTCTTCTGTTTCCAAACGAAAATAGTGATTTTGGCTCAGCTTATATGACTGTAAGTCATTTGAGCCTATATCTGGATCGTGAGCAGTTTCCACCTGAAATCGTGCGCCTGTCATGGCAGATTCTAAGATTTCCAGTTTATAGTTTTCGTCCAGAAAACTGGGTGGATTATCATTAACATCGATAATGTCAACTGATATCTGGTGCATTTCCAGTGGATTTTCGATCACTGCTTTGAGGTTGATGAGACATGGGTTGATTTTAGCGCACAGCTCTTCTCTGTCTATCCTCTGGCTCACAAACAAAGCGCCGTCTTCATGATTAACCCGAAAGAGCTCCTGCTTTGTCCCCACGACAATACGAAAATTCCTGTTTTCCAACGAAGTTGGATCAATCCCTAAATCCTTTGCAATGTTTCCAACATTTACCCCGATTTTAGATTCCTCTTGGAGGGAGTAGTTTATCTGAGCAGCCTTTCCTCCGGAATTAAACAGCAGACACATCAGATAGAAAATCCTGCTCATCCATGTTCTTGTGTTTTCATTCGCCATTGCGTCCTTCTGGAAAACCGCCGAAAATCGGGGCTAACTCTTTTATGCTACCGAAAGCAGAAACTAACCAACAGATTTAGCATCGTCGTTGTTCATTGTTCAAAGCCGAAGTGATGTCTGACACGCCAACCAAGCCAATATGTGAAGCACGATGGCTGGAAATGTATGGTGCTGTAGCGCCACTCACAGCTATCCTGCGAAACCGCATTCACATGACATCTTTCTCGGTCCTGGAGGGCTTAAAGAGTTTAAGAGTTTAGCTTAAACCCTAATCAAAAACACATGAACCAGCTAAACAAGCTAATAATAATAATAATAATTATTATTATAATAAAAATATTATTATCAACATTATTATGATTATTATGGTTTTGGTTATGATTATTCATTCTCTTTTCATCTTAGTCCCTTTATTAATTCGGGGTCACCACAGCAGAATAAACTGCCAATTTATCCAGCATATGTTTTATGCAGCGGATGCCTTTCCAGCTGCAACCCATCTTTGAAAAACATCCATACACACCCATTCACAATGGACAATTTAGCCTGTATCCAATTCACCTGTACCACATGTCTTTGGACTGTGGGGGAAACCGTAGCACCCGGAGGAAACCCGGAGGAGCACTACTGCACCACTGCATCGCCTATATATATGTACTGGAAACTTCCTAGCAGGTGTGTTGAAGTAAGTTGGAGCTAAGCTCAGCAGGACACCGGCCCTCTAGGACCCAGTTTGGACACCCCCTGAATTTTCACAACTTAATGGCTACGCTTTTCTCAATATTGTGATATTTCATTATCAGCATATTTGAGAATCAGCCAGTCAATTCAAATTTGATGTTGTTTTGTCTCCTAATTGAGCTAGTTTTTGTTGATTTTTTTGTATTTATGTTGAAGAGTTTGTGTCTGTTTATCAAAAGCATAGCTCACGCAAAAATAAAAATTTACTAATTTTCTCTCCCTCAAGCGGTTCCAAACCTGTTTGAGTATTTGTATTTTTTGTTAAACACAAAATAATATATTTTGAAGAATATTGGAAACCGATAACCATTAGCTGCCAAAGTATTCAGTTTGTCGATACTGTGGAAATCAGGTGTTACTGCTTTTAAACATTCTTCAAAATATCTTCTTTTGTGTTTATCAGAAAATAAGAAACTAATTTGGAACATGGGAAAGGGGGTAAATAGTGAATAAAATATAAATTTTCTCCCACAGTCCAAACACATAAGTGTTATCGGCATAAGTGAATCGGGTAAGCTAAAATTTCCTTAGTGTTTCCCATTGATGGGTTGTAGCTGGAAGAGCATCCGCTGAGTAAAACATTTGACCCCTGATTAATTAAAGGATTAAGCTGAAAAGAAAATCAATAATTGAATGAATATGCTTATTAGTTCATGTTATTTAATGTGTTAATTATTATTAGCAAATGAGACTTTAAAGTGCTACCTTATTATTATTATTATTGTTGTTGTTGTTGTTGTTTAAATTATTATTATTATTATTATTATTATTATTATTATTATATTTTATTATTATTGTTATTATTTTATTTATTTTTATTATAATTTCTATTATTGTTATTATTATTAATATGAATATTATTGTTATTATTATAACTATTATAATAGTTATTACTATTTTTAAAATTATTATTTTATTTTAATATGTATATTTTTATGCTTTTTATTTTATTTTATTTTATTTTAATTATTATTATTATTATTATTTTTATATTACTATTTTAATATTTTTATATTATTATTATTATTATTATTATTATTATTGTTATTATTATTATTTATTTAATTTTTATATTGTTATTATTGTTATACTATTGTGATGATGATTATTATTATGATTATTTATTTTTTATTTTTATTGTTGCTATTTTTATTATTTTAGAATAAAATATCATATTTCAACAGTAAAAACATGCAACGACAATTTCAAATGCATTACAATAAAGTCTAAACCCTAAATTGTATTTTTAAATCTATTTTCCATTATTTTACTCAGCTTTTAGGTCGTTTAATCGTGTTTGAGATTAATAAATGAGACTGTATTTATGTGTCTAAATGCGTCTACTTGCATGGTAAACAGTGACACCTTGTGGTTCAGTTACACAGATCACGTGACAAACACAGCCCCACCCGTCCCCTTTTGTTCTGCGCCCCCTCCCATCACAGTTGCGCATGCTCGAGCTTTCCCCAAACCTGCACCAGTCTGTGAAATCCATGTATCCGACAACTGACACCAGAGGGCAGAGTGAAGAGAGCCACAGCTCAAGGACACAATGGAGATCAAATGTACATATTCTCAGCAGTATTTCACAAATCATAACACAAGCAGGCTTAGATTATACACTTTATTATGAAGGCATTATTAAAAGTGTTGCTATTCAACATAAATAGCATATATACGGGATATGAGCTCTCCAGATTTGGGCAGAGGAGCCGCGTCTGCGCATCAGATTACAGGCTGCAGCATCACGCGCTCCCCCATCCTGCGTTACCATAACGACGGGCTGCTGGAGAGGCGGGTCGCTGTCTGTGGTGCTGAGCACTGCGGTCTCTAGGGGAGAGCGTGAATGAAGGGAGGGGTGAAGGATAGACCAAATAAATCTACAAATCTACAATTTAAATTAGTAACACTGTGGTTTTATATGATTACTGTAGTGTGTTGCATTTTATGACACACAGAAAATAATTAGATATTTATATGCAAATATTTTTAAACTCACATTGCTTCCTCTTTAAACCAGTGGCTAAGAGAGAGGCTCCCGTTGCCTAGAAACCAGGCTGATTTCTGTGAGCGAGGCCTTTCTGCAGTGTTTCAGGACGGCATGGCCAGGAGTGTAAAATGCTGAGGAGCATTAAAATGTGTGTAGTTTAGGTGTGTAGGTTTATGAGGACACAAATTTGGCAATTTAATGGTTTTTAAAATGTAAACATGGTATATTAGGATGGTTTATGTTTTTTTTAAGAATCAAAAGCTATATATAAAAATTAAGCCTTTTATTATTGTTATTATTATTATTATTATTATTATTATTATTATATTATTATATTATTATTAATATGTTTTATTATGTTAATTATGTTGTTGTTGTTTTTTTAATATACATTTTATAACTTTATTTATTATTATTGTTATTTTATTATTATTATTAGTAGTAGTAGTATTATTATTATTATTTATCAATATTATTATGGTTATTATTTGTACTATAATTTTTATTGTTATTAGAATTTTTAATATTATTATTAATATTATTTTATTTTATTTATTTTTTTATTTTTATTATTTTTATTATAATCTTTATTATTATTATTATTATTATTATTGTTATTATTAGCATTATTATTTTATTAATATTGTTGTTATTATTTTATTATTATTTCTATTATTATTTTTATTATTGTTATATTGTTATTATATTATTATTATTTATTTTTTTATTATTATTATTATTATTTTTATTATTATTATTACTATTATTTCATTAATATTATAATTATTAATAATATTATTTTTTATTATTATCGACATTATTTTTGTTATAATTATTCTTATTATCATTATTTTTAATTTATTTGTATAATTTTATTATCATTATTATTGTTTCATTATTATTATTATGGTTATTATTATTATTATGACGATGATGATTATTATTATTATTATGAAATTCTAAATTTGCCTCAAGTTTTTGTGAATTTGTGTGCGTGTGCGTGTGTGTGTATGCTGCAGCATATTTTATTAGTGCTGCAGTCTCACTCTGTGCTGTGAGGCAGGCAGTGTGAAATCTGGGTCAGGAGAAAAAGAGAGGCAGAGAGCGGTTACATTTTTGTCCTTGTGTGATGTTCTGACCCACATCACAAAACCAGAAATCCGAACCAGACAGTAAGCCAGCTATAACTGAGTTTAATGCATCATTATGTGCATTTATTAATAGTCAAATTAATATGGCAAAAAATGACATTGTGGTGATCCAAGTGTGTTGTTTTTTTAATATTATACGTCTAAATGATGGAGTTGACATGAAGCATATATCTGATCTGTTCGGTTAATTTCACTGTATTACATCATTTGCAAAGATGACCTCATCTTTACTCACAAAAAAATCACCACACATGGCTGACAATCTTGCAAACAAAGTATATGTATGTATACGTATATTGGTGTATATATGTATATTGGTGACATCGATTTGTCATTAAAAAGACAATCACAATTGCATACTGTACAAACAATGTCTTTTTATTTTTACTCCAGTGCATCTGTGCTCGATTTAAATACAGGCTGATGGCTACTTACATGTTAAGAAGTCATTTAAAAGCTAAAAAAACACATTTATGTAGTTCTGAATAGCATATATAATGACAGAAATACAAATTATCAGTGATGTTTAATGTAAATATACAGTACAAATGTATCAGCAGTTCCTCGTGAGTTAAGAGGGTCAGGCGAGTTTCTTCGAGGCAGATCATGTGTGTTGAGGAAGGCAGTTGGTCTATTTCAGAGCACAAATGCTGAGGGAAAAGTGCAAATTTGCTTGATAAACTTGATGATATTAGAGAAAAGGAGACTGGAGAAATAACACGGGACAATTGGGATGCTTAAAATAACAGTGCTTCTGTGTGCTTTACATAAATAATTAGGTTATTTCACAAAATTAGGCTTTTGGGTAAATACATTTCAGCCAATTTCTGAGCATTGAGAGTCTACTTACACTGACAAACAGGAACACATCAAGAAAATAGCACCATATTTTGTCAGTCTAATCAAAAATATGAATCTTTTGTCATGTTCTACCATCATCTTAAAGTTGTTTTTGGAAAACAACAACGCACATGTATAAGTATAAGCCAGGTTTTCTGAGACTGTTTGGAGCATAGGTGTCAAACTCAATTCCTGGAGAGCCGCAGCTCTGCACAGTTTTACTCCAACCCTACATTGAAAAGAGAGATAAGTTGACTAAGCTGTAAAATTTTGATTAAACACTGCTTTAATATTAAATAAATGTCAAAATTAAGTTTGTTCTAAGGTGGAACAAATAGTTAACATGTTTTAACTATAATCTACTTGTCACTTTTAATGCAATGGGTTTGCTCCCTTTTTAAGTAATTACTTTGTTTAGTGTATCAAACACAACTGATCCAAATAACCAAGGTGTTCAAAAGAGTCATGAACACCTTCATTAGTTGAATCCGCAGTGTTTGATCAGGGTTGGAGCAAAACTGTGCAGGGCTGCGGCCATCCAGGAATTGAGTTTGAGGCCTATGGCTTAGAGCAGTGGTCACCAAACTTGTTCCTGGAGGGCCGGTGTCCTGCAGATTTTAGCTCCAACCCTAATCAAACACACCTGAACAAGCTAATTAAGGTCTTACTAGGTACTTGAAACATCCAAGCAGGTGTGTTGAGGCAAGATGGAGCTAAACCCTGATGGGACACCGGCCCTCCAGGACCAGGATTGGTGACCCCTGGCTTAACGCCTTAAATATTTATTTAAGGTTTATAAAAATATAACATGTAAACGTCTCTGAAAAAGAAAGATGAATGGAGAATTGGGTGAATATGTTTTATAATGGTGCACTGCATTTCAGAGGCAGTCAATGACTTAACCCTTTGACATCATGACCTTTTGACCTGCCAAGGAGAAGCTGCCAAACCCTCAGGAAAATCCCTCATTGCAACATAAATTATTATATCATGATTTTAAATCACATTTTGTAAAGGCAGCAAAATATCAGAAAACAACAATACCATATTGTCCACTAAAACAAAACATTGACATCCTCGTGCCAATGCTAAAGCAAGCAAATAGAAAAAGTCAACCATAAAAAAGCAGCAGTTGATATTTATACTTAATCATTAATACATAACCTTAACCACAGGCATTGAAACCAAAACAAATATATATATATATATATATATATATATATATATATATATATATATATATATATATATATATATATATATATATATATATATATATATATATATATATAATAAAGAACCAAAAAGGGACTTTAAATGCACAATGTAGGAATTTTTTTTGCTGAATTGTCTCTTTCAAAGCATTCAAGGGCATTAAAGAAACACATTCTATAATATTATATTACACAATAGTTATTACAGCCAATATAAAAAGCAAAGTAAACATCAACCGTTCTCCATTTCTTCTTTTAAAGCAAGTATAAATCATCCACCACCTTGTGTGCTCTATATATTTGGCCTTATATCAAACATTTTTAATAAAGCATGATAGAAATGTTTTAAGTCTTTATCAATAAAACAATGTGGTGTTTAAAAAAAAGATAATAATATGTATTCACTCATTAATATCTCAGAAGTCTGTGTGTTTTTATGTGGGAAAGAGGGATTGAGAATCAGTCTTGTGGCAGCATCGTTTTACACATGACTGCGACCTTCAAATGTCTTTGCATTGTGACTTCACTCATTGTGCTGCGTTTGCATCACTAGACACCACAGTCGTAAATTTCGAATTCACGTATTTTGTCAGGCACCAAAAACCGTATTAACTAAAATACGTAATATCTGTCTGGCTGACAGAGGAAGCATTGAGTTACAGAAATGATCATTTAGTAAAATAACCTTATTTGTTCATGATTGAGTGATTAGATTTGGTCTGACTGGCACAAACACAACGAGATTGTAGTTATTGTCATATCATCAGCACATATTGTCGTTTAAAATTAAGGATTTCCGTGCAATGTTTATTTAAGTGTATATATAACAAATTAGAGGTTTATAGTACACTCTGTTACAGTCAACAGCAATCTAGCTACTGCGGATTGCTTTAGAACTACAAATCTGCCATCAAATGGACTACATATCCTGTCATGAGCCATGTGAGGGTCTGGGACAATGAGGTTGAGGATCCAAATGTGGTATTTATTACAGAGAATAGTCAGATAGGCAAAGGTCAAACAGGGAAGCTATCAGGTAAATGCAGGTGGGCTTACTTGGAATCTGCACATGCAGAAATTCGCAGATTTATGCTGATTTTTAGCCCATCATTGAGTTGATTTACTTGTGTAAATGTGTGTAAATTTATATTTATTCAGTTTTTAAGTGAATGTCAGTAACAATATTGACTAATATGAAAATGTCTCTATGATTCATTTAATTTACCATTTGTAAAGTAATACTTTCTCCATTTTAGTAGATAAATTATATTAGAGACTTGCTTTGTTTACCAAATAAGTGGATCCAGATGGATTTGCATTGTAAACAGAGTTAAAAAGCTATTACTTTTCATATATATATATATATATATATATATATATATATATATATATATATATATATATATATATATATATATATATATATATTAGTTACAATACTCCAAAATAATTCCACATAAATCTGCATATTTTTTAACAAAAGAAATAGTAAGCAAATGTACGCAGATTCTTTCTGGCCCTACATACAGGTAAAGTAAAAAGAGTAGTCGATTCACAGGCAAAGAAATCGGCTAACTACGTGAACAATAAAACAAAGCACGAGTCTAGGCAAGGAAACCATGGAACGTCATGCTCACTTAAACAGACAAACAAGACTCAGCAATGTGTGTGGAAATGAGAGGAGTCTTTATAGACCAGGCATTGATCAATGAAGATCACAGTGTGTCTGTGTCATCAGAAAAAAAACTGGAACAGGTGTGTGTGTGAGGTGCATGATAGGATTTGTAGTCTATTTGGTGGCAGTTCTCTGCGACTGTAACCGAGTGCACTATAAACCATGTAATATGCACTTAAGTAAGCATTGCACGAAAACCTACAAGCTTAAACGATAATATGTGTTGATGACATGACAATAAGTATTGTTTAAGAATGATAATAAATAATAATAAAAAATGGACACACACTGTAAACAAAATGCTTGGTTGCATGCAGTTCCATCATGTAATGCCAAAAAAGGTCAATTAAATTACTTGTTTTTAATTAAGTTCATTGAACATAAAATAATTAAGTTAAAATTCAGTTGATTCAGCTCATTTTAAATACGTAGTTTAAACAAGCAGCAAAAATCTGAATGATTAAATATCTAATGACAATAAAATGATTATAAATGTTACATTATTTAATATTAAATCATTAATAAGTTGTGATTTGTAATCGTTAACCACGAGTCTGGCATTTGATTCTATTATTATTGGGGAATTACTTTAATTATTCATAATAACAAATCCTTTTTAACCTAAAAGAACAGAGAGAACTAATGTATGATTGATCTCTTGATTATACACACAGAGGTTGTTACTGATACATATCCTCAGACTCATCTTCACCATTAAAAACTGCAGATGTAGTGTTTTTACAGCTTCCTCTACACCCATAATAAATCAAATCAGGAGAGATAATAACTAGTCAGTTCAGATCAGTGCTTGGATTTCTTAACCTTGATGCTTCACATACTGAAACTTAAAAATACAGACACAAACAGCACCACAGACGTAATACAACACTACTGAAGACTATACGGCACACCAAATCAGCTTGGCTGTGACCTGTTCTGAATACACTGGATAACACTTGCATTATTCTGATAGAAATCTTTATGAGATCCGAGAAAACACACAGGAGGAATGCTTTATACATCTGTTACAGGGAAAGAGACGCTTTTAATGTGCAAACTCAGTCCGGCGATCTCTCCACAGGTCATTTTAGTCCGCTTTATGCTTGTTTGATCACTCATATTGCACAGAAGAAAAAAAAAATCCCATTGGTAATCTTAATTTTCCATATATATTTGAATCCAAAGGTAAAATGCACTTTGTATAAGCAGGTTTTGCTAATATAATAATGTTTGCATGCTCCTTTCTTTAATTTTCACTCACATTGTCAACATTTTATAAGGTTTTTGCCCTAAAATGTTTGTTTGTAAGATAAATAAACCGGCAATTTATGTTAGTAAATGAATTTACTGCCACAAACTGATCCTGAACAATACTTGTACAGCATTACAGCATTATTAAAATGCATAATTAACATCAGCTAATGCACTGTGAGCCAACAATGAGTTTATTTTCATTAACTGACATTAACGAAGATGCATAAATACTCAAATAAATGTATTGCTCATTGTTTGTTCGTGTAAGTTAACACATTAACTAATGCGACCTTGCTGTAAACTGAAAGCTACAGATTAATAATGGGATTTTTTTGTACCAATTCCATATCCACACCAGGTCATCTGTTAATAATTCCTCCCTCAAATGTCTCCACCAGTCGCTAAATATAACCAAGACATCAAACATGGAGATTTAACCATGCAAACACGAGCAAAATGGTTTTGCAGAAAGGTTTCTCCAAGAAAACACAAGACCTATGCTCTTTCAAGATATGCATGTGTGTGCTTGTGTGTGCTGGTTTTGGTGGTTTACACATATAATGTATATGATTTGTGTATAATTACTTGGGTATGACATAGTTGTACGTTATTATGGTGTGGTTTATGATGTCCTTGTAATTAAAATGCTTCAAAATGCACACTTAACGTGGTATTTTGGCATTCAAACATGGTTCAGGTTCCCTGTGAGGGAGGGTTTTAGGCGTGGGGTGGGTTATAGACCATTTCAATGTGGTCATGTCATTGGCCCAAGAACATTTCATGCTTGATTTCAACTTTGATTATCATAATTTAATGTTAAAACAGCTGTTATTTACATAATATAACATTATTTATCAATATGTGGCTCTTTTTGGATTCTCGGAAGCTATAGAAATTAAAAATGTGATACAGGAGATATGTTGAGACCCTTGTTTTCGTTTACATCCCTCAGAATGGTCCATCGGGCCATGTAATAAGCTGTATAAAATACATTACATCAATAGAGAGTCCTTGTAAACCACCAATACCGATGTGTGTGTATATGTGTGTGTGTTCTCACAGACTCAGCCCAAGTCCAGCTGTAAGCGCATCTCATTTTTGCCATTTCTCTGGTCAGATCGTCCTCAAGCAGGCTTTTAACACTCTCCAAACATCGAGGTGAAGATGTAGACATCATTCGGGGTTTGTTTCTTCATGGTGCAGGTGAATATGACGGATGCAGGAGGACACACATGCAGGCTGAGGGTCCTTTTTTTTCATACGTTGCTCCGAGGGAGAGACCTCAAGTGGAACTACTGCTGGTGGTGGTGGATGCCTGTCAACGACATAGAAAACGAGACGTTAGAGGTGGGATTTCACACATTATTCACTTCGTGACAGGCCAGAATCGTAACACGTCTCATGCAACCAAGGCCTGCCACTCAAATGAAAGGCTTCAGGCAAAACAGAACCTTGGTTTGATTGACAGGTGACGGGGGGGTGGGTTGACCAATGAGAACCATGCTCAGATATCAGGTGAGAGGGTGGTACAGGGTGATGGACGAGCAGCAAGCTGAAAACTGGGTTAATTGTTTCCCATCGTTCTGATTCATTTGTGAAAAGCGATTCCACCAGTGTGTGAACTTGTAATTCAACAGTCAATTCAAACAGACATGTACACACACCATCCAACAAACAGGCCAAGGAGATCATATATATATGTCTTAGTAGATGAACATACAGCATTAAAACCACATCATGCAGTCGAGCCATAATTGCATAACTCCTGATCATCTTAAAGGAGTGTAATCATGTCATTTAATCATGTCTTATGTCAAAGCCTTAAATGAAAATAATGTCCTGCTGTTTCTTTTAAGGTTATGAAAGTGAGCAATCCAGAGGCTGTTGGACATCATATAACTCTACAGTCTATGAACTCAGAGCACAATCACTTGCTTTTAACAATTTTGTCCACTTATGTGGTAAAACTGAATTAAATCTTTAGTAATCTCTGCTGAAAAAAAGCAGCTTAAACCAGCCTAAGATGGTTACTGGTTTTAGCTGGTTGACCAACCTGGTTTTTAGAGGGGTTTGGCCATTTCTAGGCTGGTTTCTAGTTATTTACTGCCTGGTTTTAGCTGGTCAGGCTAGAAAATGACTAGCTCGAACCAATTTATCCATCCTGGTTTAAGCTGGACATAACTGGCTAGGCTGGTCAAGCTGCATGGTTTTAGCTGGTCATCTCCCAGCCTGACCATGCAGCTAAGACCTGGCTGGAAATGGCTGGAAACCAGCCTGAAATTATTATGAAGATCACAAGTAAATGTATTATTAATTTTAAAAGGAATGTAAACCTGTTGTTTAATCAGGTCATTTTAAAGCCCTGAATGAAAATAATGATCTCCTTTTTCTTTTAAGGCTATGGAAGTGAATACAACAGAGGCTGTCGGATATTATATGATTCTACAATCTATAAACTCAGAGCACAATCACTTGCTTTTTATAATTTTTGACACTTAAATGATAAAGCTGAATTAAATGTTTTGTAATCCCTGCTGAAGAAAGCAGTTTAAACCAGCCTAAGCTGGTTGGTTAGTTTTAGCTGGGTGACCAGCCTGGTTTTAGAGGGTTTTCGGCCATTTCAGGCTGGTTTTCAGCCATATCCAGCCTGGTTTTAGCTGGTCAGGCTGAAAAATGACCAGCTCAAACCAGTTTAACCATCCTGGTTTAAGCTGGACATAACTGGCTAGGCTGGTCAAGCTGGTTTTAGCTGGTCATCTCCCTGACTGACCAGCTAAGACCAGGCTGGAATGGCTAGAAACCAGCCTGAAATGGCCAAAAACACTCTAAAACCAGGCTGGTCGACCAGCTAAAACCAGCCAACCATCCTAGGCAGGTTTAAGCTGTTTTTTTCAGCAGGGATATCATCGATTTACCCAAGACTTGAACTAAATAATAACTGTTTTGTCTTTTTCAGGGCTGATAATTAATATTTTAACTAATTTGGTCACATTTTGAAGATCACAAGTAAATGTATTATTCATTTAAAAAGGACTGTAAACTTGTTGTTTAATCAGGTCTGTCATTTCAAAGCCCTGAATGAAAATAATGTATCATCAATTCTACAATCTTTAAATTCAAAGTAGAATAACTTATTTTATTTGCTATTTTTGCCTCAAATGGGTTCAAAATGTACTTAAACTTTAGTAATATCGCTGATTTGAATAAATATTGAGCTAAATATTCTGGGCTGCCATTAAAAAATTTAGTTACTCCTCAAAAAAGTAACTAGTCATGTTACTTAGTTACTTATTATGGAAATTGATGCGTTAAGTTACTTTTGAGTTATTTTTGAGTTACTTTTTCATCCCTGCTTGAGCCTTGATCTCTTTCAGAACTTGTAGGGTTTTTTATTATCATAATTTTTTATTATTATATATTTTTTCTAAATAGAGGAGCTCTGCATTCAACAACACACTGTATAACCTACACCCTCATTTACCTTTAAAAAAGCTAATAAAAAATAGAACAATGTTACTTTCTGAGAACTTCCTGCCACTATGCATGCCATATATACAGATTAATAAAAAGTTTAAAGCAATGTGTTTGCAACTTTTTTTTGTCTTATTATTTTAGTAAAATCAGTTTTTAGGGCGATCCTCTTTTCTTCCATGTGTTTAGAATAATGACAATACTTCCATCACAGAAATGTTAGGCTCTGCCATCTTGGTTTCTGTCTGTTACTTATTAAATAAAGTAACTCAAATATTTTTATTTAATTTTTAAAGTACTGCATTAGTTTACTCGTTGCTTAGAAAAGTAATATTATTACGCAACTCGCTTTACTTGTAATGCATTACCCAACACTGATTATAACTAATCTGATCACTGATATTTTACACTTAAATGAACTTATTAAGGTCATGGGACCAACAACATCATACTGTATCTAATAAATTGTTCATTCATAAAAATATATTGAAGAAAATTTAACACTTTGAGCTGCTTTTTAGCAGAATTGATCATTTTGCCTTTACTTTGAAGCAGCTCTGAATCATTCATACAGCTCTAAATATACAAATAATGATAGTCGAGCTATTTAAAGTCACTTGACTTGACAGCCTTCACTCCCTGCCACTTTCATTCTTAGATAAAGAAAAGCATGAACAATTTTCCTACAAAAAGTCAATTAAATTGAATGTTTAAAGACATGAGGGTGACTAAATTTACTGCGTTTAGTACTACAATCATGACAGGGCGAGTTTATATAAATCAACTTTCGCACCCCCAGTCGCTGTCAATCAAACCACAGAAATTCAACGGTATCGTTAGTGTTTCTGCAGGACAAGGGTGTATATAAAAGGTGGGCTTTGTGAAGCTGCATATCATCACGTGTAGTGAAGAAGAAGAAAAACACCAGTCTATTAATAAAGTTCCACAAACGGAAACAAACACACACACATTGTGTCTAAAAGGCTGCCGAGTTTAAATCCTGCAGCCTTCACATCTACATCAGAGACCAAGAGAGGTGTCAAACTGAGTGTTGATGTTGACCTGCTGAAGCATTTATCTGCATCTTAACTCTGATCAGAATTAAACTGGCTCCTTGGCTCCTCCTACAACAGGACAAGGCAAACTCCACTGACGGAAACCACCAACCACAAAGAGAAACACAGAGAGTCACACAGATTTGGGTAAAGATCAATGGGCGCTGGGATCAGTCGCTCCAGAAATCGTGAAAAAGAAGAAGTCGGGACTGCATACCTCCAGCGGGAGAAGGGACCTCGATCATTTTGAGTACTTTAAAAACGGAAACAAAAGCAGAGACAAACATTTCATTATTCAGGGTAGAGTTATTTAGATGTTTCACTAAATCAGAGAGGTAAACTTTTCTGTCAATTAAAAAAAAACAAAAAATTAAACAATCAATACATTAATTTCAAATAGTCAGTTATCAACCTAAGATTGTTTTAAAAAGCACTTAAGTGCATTAAAGGGATAGTTCACCCAAAAATGAAGGTTCTGTCATCATTTGCTCACCCTATACTTGTTTCAAACCTTTATGAGTTTCTTTCTTCTGTTAATCACAAAAGAAGATATTTGGAAAAATGCTGGAATTCTGTAACCATTGATTTCAATTGTATTTGTTTTTCCTACACTGTAAAAAAAAATATAATAAATTAGTCCTGACAACATATATATATTTTTAGGTCATTGTAATTTATTAAACTAAGTTAATCATGTTCTAACTTAATTTTATAAGTTGTTTTAAGCCAGTTACACATTATGTAAGTTTAACGGAGGTTAATTTGGAAAATTTGATTCCCTTTGAATTTTTTTTTCTTTTTTAAATATTTGCCAAATGATGTTTAACATAGCAAGGAAATTTTCAGAGTATGTCTGATAATATTTTTTCTTCTGGAAAAAGTCTTATTTGTTTTATTTCAGCTAAAATAAAAGCAGTTTTTAATTTTTTAAACTCCATTTTAAGGTCAATATTATTAGCCCCTTTAAGCTATATTTTTTTCAAATAGTCTACAGAACATACTGAACCTTCATTATACAATAACTTGCCTAATTACCTTAACCTGCCTAGTTAACCTAATTAGCCTAATTAAGCCTTTAAATCTCACTTTAAGCTGCATAGAAGTGTCTTGAAGAATATCTAGTCAAATATTATTTACTTTTTTATTATTTAATATTATTATTATTTAAAACTATTATGATTAGAAATGTGTTGAATAAATCTCTCCGTTAAGGGAGGGGTGGGGTACAATTTATGTACCGTTTTGCATATTCTGATAAAAAAAATAATAATAATAATTTTTTTTTTTAAAATTTAAAAAGGGAGGGGGTGTTAATAATTCTGACTTCAACTGAATATGATCAATCAGTCCTGACAGCATATGTTTTAGTTCATTGTAACATCAATCTAAGTTAATCTAACTTAATTTTTATAAGTCACACAAGCTGTTTTAAGTCAGTTTAACATTATATGAGTACAACAGACTCATAAGGTAAATTTGATTCAGCTTAAAAATTTAAGGCAACCATTATTTTTTTACAGTGTATACTGGAAGTCAATGGTTACCAGATTTCAGCTTTGTTAAAGGTTTGGAATCATTTGAGGAATGAGTAAATTAATTCCCACTTTATATTAAGTGGCCTTAACTAATATGTGCTTACAATAAAATTAATTCACTTTTTACATTGCTCTTATAATTGATTAAATACATGCATGTGATTACATCTTTAATTACACTGTTGACCATCCCATACACTTTAACCCAGCCTTAAACCTCCCCATACTACCAAACCTGTCCCTAACCCTACCCGTATCCCGAGCAGCAGAAGTGTTCTGCAATACATGATGAACACAGTAAGTACATTGCATTTATTTTTTGAAGCAAGTACACAGTAGTTAAGACCACTTCATAAAACGTGGGACTGCTCATTTTATTTAGAGGTGTTTATTTAATTTCCCTCATGTGGTTTCACACCTTTATGAGAAATTTTCTTCTGTTGAACACAAATATACACAACTGGTCAAAAGTGTGGGGTCAGTAGGATTTTTAACTGTTTTAAAATTAGCTTATCCTGCAAACCAAGGCTGTATTTAATAATATATATATATATATATATATATATATATATATATATATATATATATATATATATATATATATATATATATATATATATATATATATATATAGCACACATTGTAAAATTGTGAAATGTCATTGCACTATAAAACAACTTTTCAAAAGTAGATTATCATTTAATTTAATCATTTATTCCAGTGATTTTAAAGATGAATTTTCAGCTTCATAACTAAAGTCTTCAGAATCACATGACCCTTCAGAAATCCATCTACTATTAATTATTATTGTTGTTGTTGTTATTATTATTATTAGGGCAGCACGGTGGCGCAATGGGTAGCACAATCGCCTCTCAGCAAAAAGGTTGCTGGTTCGAGCCCGGCTGGATCAGTTGGCATTACTGTGTGGAGTTTGCATGTTCTCCCTGTGGTCATGGGGTTTCCTCCGGGTGCTCTGGTTTCCCCCACAAGTCCAAAAACATGTGGTACAGGTGAATTGGGTAAGCTAAATTGTCCATTGTGTATGTGTGTGAATGAGTGTGTGTGAACGCATATGCTGGATAAGTTGGTGGTTCATTCCACTGTGGCGACCCCAGATAAATAAAGAGACTAAGCCGAAAAGAAAACGAATGAATACAAATAATAATAATAATTATTATTATTATTATTAATATTAATGGTAATAGTAATAAAAGCAATAATGGCTGGAGTGATCATTTCATTTGAAACTACATACTATAAGAAAGCAGTTATTTATTTTTTTTATAAATACTTAACAATTTGATTTTATTTTTTAATTTATTTTTATTTATTTATTTTTTACATTTAATACATGCTGCCTTCATGAACAGAATAATTTTCTTAAAAAAATAAATAATTGACCCCAAACTTTTTACCAGTAGTGTATATTTTGAAGATAGTCAAAAACCGATAACCAATAACTTCTATAGTACGAAAAACAAATACTATGGAAGTTAATGGTTACAGGTTTCCAGCATTCTTCAAAATATCTTCTTTTGTGTTTAACAGAAGAAACAATCTAAAACAGCTTTGAAACAAGTTAAAAGTGAGTAAATAATTGCAGAATTGTCATGTTTGGGTGAATTATCATTTTAAAGCAAGATATAAAATGTCCTTTTATCCTCTCATCAGTCATTGTTATGACAATTATCAAGGACTTCACTCCGGGTAACCTGTGACAGAATGTGAAAGCATAACACATTAAGCAAACTGTTAAGAAGCATATAAACAAGAGAGATACATTGGTTATAATCTTTTATCAATCACTTACCTGTTCATCAGGTGACACTCTAAAAAATAAATTCTAGAACAATTAATAATCAAGAAATGAAACAAAGCTTGACACATTAAAAAAAAGCTGGAAGTGAATTTCAGTTAATTTCATTTAAATTAACATCAAATAAAATAATTAACAAATTTTATGAACAAAAAATACATAAATACAAATCAAATTAAATTGCACACAGTCTGATAAGTGAGATTGATGCCCGGCATTTTTGGAAACATTCATTCACTCATTTTCCTTCGGCTTAGTCCCCTTATTCATCAGAGGTCACCACAGTGGAAGGAACCGCCAACTTATCCAGCATATGTTTTACACATGCAGCGGATGCCTTTTCAGCTGTAACCCAGTACTGGGAAACATCCATACACACTCATTCACACTGACACACACACACACACACACAAACACACACACTACGACCAATTTAGTTTATTCAATTCACTTATTCCACATGTGTTTGGACTGTGGGGGAAACCAGAACACCCGGCGGAAACCCACGACAACACGGGAAGAACATGTAAACTCCACACAGAAATGCCAACTGGCCCAGAAGGGACTCGAACCAGTGACCTTCTTGCTGTGAGACGACAGTGCTAACCACTGAGCCACAGTGATGCCCATTTTTGGAAACATATTTTAAAATATTATTTTATTTGTCTATTTGGTGAAACTCGAGCAAAATAAAAATTTAAAATTGGCATTAAAGGAACATTAATCATTAATTACAACATGAGATTAATGACAGTTAAAGGAAAGACAGAAGGCAGTTTTGCAGACTTAAAAGCACAAATAAATACAAAAAATATATTAATCCAATATACAATTTTGTTTATCTCTGCAATGAAACTCAAATAAACAAATTAGCAAATCCCACAGTGTGATTCAGCCAACTAAACGGTTCTTGTGGCCTCTGCGATTTGATTTTTGGCTCATAAATGCCAGTCAGACTGCATAGTTAGATATAAACGATTGAACCACAAATGTATAAAAGTATGGGAATGTAAACATCAGAGCAGCAGGTGAAACAGCAATACACTCTCAGAAATAAAGGTACAGGAGCTGTCACTGGGGCAGTACCTTTTCAAAAGGTACATATTTGTACCTGAAGGGTCCATAACGGTACCTCAAAGGTACTTTATAGGTACATTTGCGTACTAATATGCACCTTTTAGGTACCACAGTGGACTATTTGGGTACAAATATGCATCCTTTTGAAAAGGTACTGCCCCAGTGACAGCTCCTTTATTTCAGAGAGTGTAGGAGGTCAAGAAAGTAGGTCAACTTGCATTGAGAGAGAAGCAACATGTCACAACCTGCTTGCAAACATACACATCACATTACACACACACACACACACATAAATGCATACACACAATGTCATTCACTTTGAGAGCAGGCATAGCTACAGGGTTCAAAAAGTAAGACAAAGAAAATTAAAGGCTACAGAATTGCTCAAATGAGACAAATAGAACAAAACCGTTGAGAAAATCGACAAACATCTACAAGAAGAAAAAGTTTAGTTCAATAATTTACTCAATAATTTAATCATTAGGAAATACAATAATGCATATTTAACTGTAAAACTGGAGATGAGCAGAAAGAGACGGGTAACTGAATATACAAGAATAAGAAACTTTGGAAACATTAAAAACAAATTTACATGCACAAACTTCTAGTGTACATGATGTTAATCGAATGAAAGAAGAGGGATTGTTTTCGAAAATGATGCAACGCACAGCAGATGAACTGGAGATGAGCACAGCCTTGCTGAGCCCATACAAGATGGAAAGTTTGGTACAAAGTTGTGAATGTGCACTTAAAATGTAGACACTGAAAAATAGTGTCTAAGTGAAAGGACCTTCAATTTGTTTTGGCCAAAGATTGAAAAGTTAAATAGTGTTTCCTGTTTTTTTGTTACTTCGAATAACCAGTTTACCTGTTGATGGTATATGAGCCTACCTGTAGAGTAGAAGCAGCAGAGTCGCTGGTCTCGGTCAGTCCTGTGCTCCTCGGGATGCTGGACACGATGTATCTCGCTCCCTTTGGCACAGGCTGTCTGACCACCAGCTTTCCTTTCCTCGTCTCTGCTAGAAATAAACTGTACCAGTAGGCATCGTTGGAGACCAGAGTGGAGTCCGCGATGGTGGAGTTCCTCTCGCTGATCACACTGTTCCTGCTCGGAGGAGCCGCTTTGCTGGGCTTAGCCTTCTGGCACTTGAGCACGATGGTCACCAATATAGTGATGAGCAGAAGAAATGACACAGAGCCCAGTCCGATCACCAGATACAGGTTTAAATCCGAGAAGATGTCATACTCCAAAGGCACCTCAGTGTAGGTTTTAAGCGCGGTCTCCACCGTGGACAGTTTGATGGTGACTGTAGCAGAGAGCGCGGGCTCTCCGTTGTCCTTGGCGATCACCACCAGCCGCTGGTCTCGCGAGTCTCTGTAGCTGAACATCCTCATGGTCCGGATCTCTCCGTTGTATTGATCCAAGCTGAATAACGTAGCGTCGGTGTTCTGGAGAAACTGGTAGGTGATGCGAGAGTTGTGCACTGAATCAGAGTCTATGGCGATGACTTTGGCGATCAGAGTTCCTTTATCGGTGGATCTCGGGATGGTTTCCTTCACCTCCGAGCCCTGCGCGCGCCACGGAGACACTATAAGCGGTGTGTTGTCGTTCTGGTCCATGATAATAATGTGAACGGTCACGTTACTGCTGAGCGGAGGAACACCAGAGTCTCTGGCCTCGATGTGGAACAGAAAATCCTTCTCTATCTCATAATCAAACGTCTTTAGCGCGTAAAGATTGCCGTTCTCCGGGTTAATGGAGAACAGCATGGACATGGAGGTGTTGGCTATTTCCTTCTCTATGATGAAATAAACCAGATACTGGTTTTCATGGAGATCTGGGTCTACAGCAGTTATAGAGCTCAGTGAAGCTCCAGGCGCGTTATTCTCCATTACTGGTATCGTGTAGAAAGTCTGTGGGAACTGAGGAACATTGTCGTTCACGTCCAGCAGCTCTAAAGTGATAGTTTCATTATCAGATAACGGCGGGTTGCCCCTGTCAGTCACGGTGATAGTGATGTCATATTCTGGAAGCTTTTCACGGTCTAACGGCTCTGAAACTAATAATTCATAATAATTATCAGAGGATTCTTTAAGCGCAAAAGGTAAATCAGCAGAGATATGAATGTCTACCTGTCCATTCTCTCCAGAGTCTTTATCACTCACACTAACAACTGCAATCACTGTGTTTACAGCCACATCCTCTTTAACTGGACTTGTGACTGATCTGATGGAGATTTCAGGATGATTATCATTCATATCTGTGATTAAAATCTTTACTTTACACTTTCCTGTCAGACTATTAGCTCCTTTATCTGTTGCTATAATTTCCATATCATAGATCCTGAAATCCTCATAATTAATCAGCTCTTTCACTCTGATTTCTCCATTGTTAGGATTCAGACTGAAAGTCTGCTGCGTTTTCTCTGAAGTGTATAAACTATAAGAGTAAAGTAAATCTGAATTTGAGCCCTCGTCTTTGTCTGAGGCGTTTAGTTTCACTACAAGGCTTCCAATAGGCGCGTTTTCAGTCAGATTTATAGTATAACTGTCTTTATCGAATTGAGGGGCGTTGTCATTGGTGTCCAGAACGCGCACAATAATGCTGGCCGTGCCAGAGCGCGCGGGGACTCCTCCATCCACAGCAGTGAGAATCAGATTATGTATGGCCCGCTCCTCGCGATCTAAAGACTTCTTTAGTATTAAATCAGCAAATTTTGACCCATCCCTCCCTGTCTGTATTTCAATATCAAAGTTTGCACTGTCACTCAAGTGATAACCTTTAATGGAATTTGAACCAATATCAGGATCCACCGCATTACTTAAAGAAAACCTCTCGCCAGCAGCAGTCGATTCAGAGATATCCAAATTAATAGTATCCCTACGAAAATAAGGCGCGTTGTCGTTAATATCCATTATTTCAAGTTCAATGTTAAATATACGAACTGGGTTCTCCAAAATAACTTCCATTTTAAGGTAACACACTGTTTTTGATGTGCAAAGATACTCTCTATCAATGCGCTCCAAAATAAACAGGTCTCCGGTGTCTTTGTTCACCTCTAGATACTTCTTATTTGCAAGGATATCTAACCGAATTTTTCGTTTTCCCAACGTTTGCACATCGATTCCCAAATCTGCAGCCAAATTAGCAACAACAGAGCCTACCTCCATCTCCTCCGGAATAGAATAATGCGTGACAGCAGACGCAGTGTAAACGAATGCCGAAAGCAGAAGTAACGTTGCGAAGCAGTTCATTGTGGGTTGTGCCTCCATTCTGCCGGAGAAGCGTGTTTTCTTTATGAGCCCCAAACACAGCCGTCTTCAACAACGATGATCGCAAGACATACAGTGTATTCCAATACTGTCTTACTTTTCCACAAAGCAGGTGCAAACCTTCACAGAATTATTTAATACGGAGAGCCAACAGAAGCGCTAGCATCCCCGAGAGCTGTCCATAAAGACACTCTTGTGCGCATGAGCTGTCGTGACGACTGTAAAATAAATAAATAAATGAAATATCGTCCGTTTTGTTGGTGCACAGCGACACGTTGCGTGTATTTAGAAAAATTACGCGAAATATACAGCCATGGTCAAAATTGTTGGCACTCTTGGTAAATAAGAGCAAAGGCAACGGTAAAATACAACACTATTTTCTTTTTGAGCTTTCATTCATTCATTCATTCATTCATGGATATAAAATAAAGTAGCATGTCACTGAAATAAAACAACATGGAGAGGTATTGTTATGTTTTTTTAAGCTAATGTATTTTAGTAAGAGCTATTGAAATTATTTTACTCGATGCTTTTTCCAATCTACACTAATCAATATATAACAGGTCTGAATCTAAAATAAAGACTGATTAGGCCGGAATAAAAGCTGGATCTATGGCATTTTCCCATAAACAAACTCCTTCAGTTTCTCTACTCCATGCTAGTGTTTAGTTCATCCACCTTTTTTCATTACGGATCAGGTTATTCACGGACTGGAATGGCCATTGCAGTCAGAACCATACTTTTACGCACTAATCATATTATAATTTTGCTTTTAATGTTTCCTTTTGGATCACTTTCATAATAAAAAATCCAGACATGACCCATTAGGAGATTTCTATTATAGTGAGTCAAGGTTTATTTGTAATAGAATCTGCGATTTATATAAGAATTTATATTATAAATACAAATTATGTGTGGGAAAAAAGGATTTCATATTTTCTTAACCTGTACAAAAACGAGCATGCTCTACCAGAGCACACTCACAAACTTCTTTAATCACAATCTGAATAGAAATGAAACTTGACACTTTATGCAAATCTCTCTCTGATGATTGAAACTGAGTTTCTTACCTGTAGAGTAGAAGCCGCAGAGTCGCTGGTCTCGGTCAGTCCTGTGCTCCTCGGGATGCTGGACACGATGTATCTCGCCCCCTTTGGCACAGGCTGTCTGACCACCAGCTTTCCTTTCCTCGTCTCTGCTAGAAATAAACTGTACCAGTAGGCATCGTTGGAGACCAGAGTGGAGTCCGCGATGGTGGAGTTCCTCTCGCTGATCACACTGTTCCTGCTCGGAGGAGCCGCTTTGCTGGGCTTCGCCTTCTGGCACTTGAGCACGATGGTCACCAATATAGTGATGAGCAGAAGAAATGACACAGAGCCCAGTCCGATCACCAGATACAGGTTTAAATCCGAGAAGATGTCATACTCCAAAGGCACCTCAGTGTAGGTTTTAAGCGCGGTCTCCACCGTGGACAGTTTGATGGTGACTGTAGCAGAGAGCGCGGGCTCTCCGTTGTCCTTGGCGATCACCACCAGCCGCTGGTCTCGCGAGTCTCTGTAACTGAACATCCTCATGGTCCGGATCTCTCCGTTGTATTGATCCAAGCTGAATAACGTAGCGTCGGTGTTCTGGAGAAACTGGTAGGTGATGCGAGAGTTGTGCACTGAATCAGAGTCTATGGCGATGACTTTGGCGATCAGAGTTCCTTTATCGGTGGATCTCGGGATGGTTTCCTTCACCTCGGAGCCCTGCGCGCGCCACGGAGACACTATAAGCGGTGTGTTGTCGTTCTGGTCCATGATAATAATGTGAACGGTCACGTTGCTGCTGAGCGGAGGAACACCAGAGTCTCTGGCCTCGATGTGGAACAGAAAATCCTTCTCTATCTCATAATCAAACGTCTTTAGCGCGTAAAGATTGCCGTTCTCCGGGTTAATGGAGAACAGCATGGACATGGAGGTGTTGGCTATTTCCTTCTCTATGATGAAATAAACCAGATACTGGTTTTCATGGAGATCTGGGTCTACAGCAGTTATAGAGCTCAGTGAAGCTCCAGGCGCGTTATTCTCCATTACTGGTATCGTGTAGAAAGTCTGTGGGAACTGAGGAACATTGTCGTTCACGTCCAGCAGCTCTAAAGTGATAGTTTCATTATCAGATAACGGCGGGTTGCCCCTGTCAGTCACGGTGATAGTGATGTCATATTCTGGAAGCTTTTCACGGTCTAACGGCTCTGAAACTAATAATTCATAATAATTATCAGAGGATTCTTTAAGCGCAAAAGGTAAATCAGCAGAGATATGAATGTCTACCTGTCCATTCTCTCCAGAGTCTTTATCACTCACACTAACAACTGCAATCACTGTGTTTACAGCCACATCCTCTTTAACTGGACTTGTGACTGATCTGATGGAGATTTCAGGATGATTATCATTCATATCTGTGATTAAAATCTTTACTTTACACTTTCCTGTAAGACTATTAGCTCCTTTATCTGTTGCTATAATTTCCATATCATAGATCCTGAAATCCTCATAATTAATCAGCTCTTTCACTCGGATTTCTCCATTGTTAGGATTCAGACTGAAAGTCTGCTGCGTTTTCTCTGAAGTGTATAAACTATAAGAGTAAAGTAAATCTGAATTTGAGCCCTCGTCTTTATCTGAGGCGTTTAGTTTCACTACAAGGCTTCCAATAGGCGCGTTTTCAGTCAGATTTATAGTATAACTGTCTTTATCGAATTGAGGGGCGTTGTCATTGGTGTCCAGAACGCGCACAATAATGCTGGCCGTGCCAGAGCGCGCGGGGACTCCTCCATCCACAGCAGTGAGAATCAGATTATGTGAAGCTTGTTCTTCTCTGTCTAAAGGCTTTTTCAGTATCAAATCAGCAAATTTTGACCCATCCCTGCCTGTTTGCATCTCTATGTCAAAATGGTCACTCTCACTCAAATAATACGTTTTAATTGAATTTGAACCAATATCAGGATCCACCGCATTGCTGAGGGAAAATCTCTCTCCGGCTGCTGTAGATTCTGATATATCCAAGTGTATCGTGTCTCTCCGAAACTGAGGAGCATTATCGTTTATATCCACTATTTCTATTTCAATGTTAAATATGCGCACAGGGTTTTCCAATATCACTTCCATTTTGATAAAACATGTCGTCGCCGTTTTAGACAAACAAAGATATTCTCTGTCCATCTTTTCTAATACATAGAGCTCTCCTGTCTCTTTGTTGACATCCAAATATTTTTTGTTTGATATAATGTCTAGTCGCATTTTTCGTCTGCTGAGTGTTGCCACATCCAGTCCCAAATCAGACGCTAAATTAGCCACAACAGAGCCTTCCTCCATTTCTTCTGGGATGGAATAATGCGTAACAGAAGACGCGGTGTCCAAAATAGCGGAGAAAAACAGAAGGACCATTACATACCTCCAAAGCGCTGATTTTGTACATCCCTCCATTCTGCAAAGTTTGAGATATTTGTATTCCACGCGATAGTGTAATGATCAACAAACGAGCAAGTCAGACAGTGAAGCTCTTGTCACAGCGCGCTCCTTTGTGCGCTTTTCCCCTGTGAAATCTGTCATGGCGACTGTGGTTAAAAAGAGTCAAGGCGTTTTCTTAGAGAACAGCGACGCTCAGTGAATTAGATCTGAACATACAAAGTTGAGAAGAGAACAGCATTGCTTGCAACAAATATTAATAGTTTAACACGTTATTTTACTACTTGGAGGCTTTTTTGTGGTATTAGACAACCAAGAAAAGGTGCGTAAACGTGGCTCAAAATGCAATGTGAAAGAAACATGTTGTAAAGTAATAGAACATTTAGAAAACATGTTTGGGTAGTACTTGGAGGGCGCGCCAGCAGGCAGAGCCCAACTTTACTAAGATGTTTACTTAATTCTGGATCAACACTGCAATCATCTAGTCAATTTTGAGGGAAAAGTTTGTGTCAAGTTTAGGCTTACAGTGACGGTGAGGTGCTCCCTCGTTGTTATTTATCTATCATTTCCTCTGATTTATTATGAATAACTAAAAGTGAGGATTATATTTAGAGGTAAGAATTAGAATTTGATATTTGTTGGACAAGAATTATGTTCGAGGATCAGTTAAGTTGAGACAGGAACGCGTCTAAAAGCAAACCCAGGCCATACGGTTTTCCAAAGCGCATGCGCCACCTTATGTCTTACAACCTGGAAGGGAATTATGCCTGAAATGGCACATAATTATTGACTTGTTTTTCCTAAACTTTAAAGTAGAAGAAGCACCATTTAACAAGATTTAATAATGCGCCTAAAATAACTAATTCAATGAACAAAAACATTTAAAAATTATAATTAGATGAGGACAAAATTAAAATACTCAAAAAAAAAAAAAAGTATTTTTATGACCCTGTAAAACACTGAGTACACCAAACCAGAGCGCATTCACAAACTCTTGCATCAAAGTCTGAAAGGAAAATTTGCTTGCAGTTTTATGCAAATCTCTCTCTGATGATTGAAACTGAGTTTCTCACCTGTAGAGTAGAAGCAGCAGAGTCGCTGGTCTCGGTCAGTCCTGTGCTCCTCGGGATGCTGGACACGATGTATCTCGCGCCCTTTGGCACAGGCTGTCTGACCACCAGCTTTCCTTTCCTCGTCTCTGCTAGAAATAAACTGTACCAGTAGGCATCGTTGGAGACCAGAGTGGAGTCCGCGATGGTGGAGTTCCTCTCGCTGATCACACTGTTCCTGCTCGGAGGAGCCGCTTTGCTGGGCTTCGCCTTCTGGCACTTGAGCACGATGGTCACCAATATAGTGATGAGCAGAAGAAATGACACAGAGCCCAGTCCGATCACCAGATACAGGTTTAAATCCGAGAAGATGTCATACTCCAAAGGCACCTCAGTGTAGGTTTTAAGCGCGGTCTCCACCGTGGACAGTTTGATGGTGACTGTAGCAGAGAGCGCGGGCTCTCCGTTGTCCTTGGCGATCACCACCAGCCGCTGGTCTCGCGAGTCTCTGTAGCTGAACATCCTCATGGTCCGGATCTCTCCGTTGTATTGATCCAAGCTGAATAACGTAGCGTCGGTGTTCTGGAGAAACTGGTAGGTGATGCGAGAGTTGTGCACTGAATCAGAGTCTATGGCGATGACTTTGGCGATCAGAGTTCCTTTATCGGTGGATCTCGGGATGGTTTCCTTCACCTCGGAGCCCTGCGCGCGCCACGGAGACACTATAAGCGGTGTGTTGTCGTTTTGGTCCATGATAATAATGTGAACGGTCACGTTACTGCTGAGCGGAGGAACACCAGAGTCTCTGGCCTCGATGTGGAACAGAAAATCCTTCTCTATCTCATAATCAAACGTCTTTAGCGCGTAAAGATTGCCGTTCTCCGGGTTAATGGAGAACAGCATGGACATGGAGGTGTTGGCTATTTCCTTCTCTATGATGAAATAAACCAGATACTGATTTTCATGGAGATCTGGGTCTACAGCAGTTATAGAGCTCAGTGAAGCTCCGGGCGCGTTATTCTCCATTACTGGTATCGTGTAGAAAGTCTGTGGGAACTGAGGAACATTGTCGTTCACGTCCAGCAGCTCTAAAGTGATAGTTTCATTATCAGATAACGGCGGGTTGCCCCTGTCAGTCACGGTGATAGTGATGTCATATTCTGGAAGCTTTTCACGGTCTAACGGCTCTGAAACTAATAATTCATAATAATTATCAGAGGATTCTTTAAGCGCAAAAGGTAAATCAGCAGAGATATGAATGTCTACCTGTCCATTCTCTCCAGAGTCTTTATCACTCACACTAACAACTGCAATCACTGTGTTTACAGCCACATCCTCTTTAACTGGACTTGTGACTGATCTGATGGAGATTTCAGGATGATTATCATTCATATCTGTGATTAAAATCTTTACTTTACACTTTCCTGTAAGACTATTAGCTCCTTTATCTGTTGCTATAATTTCCATATCATAGATCCTGAAATCCTCATAATTAATCAGCTCTTTCACTCTGATTTCTCCATTATTAGGATTCAGACTGAAAGTCTGCTGCGTTTTCTCTGAAGTGTATAAACTATAAGAGTAAAGTAAATCTGAGTTTGAGCCCTCGTCTTTATCTGAGGCGTTTAGTTTCACTACAAGGCTTCCAATAGGCGCGTTTTCAGTCAGATTTATAGTATAACTGTCTTTATCGAATTGAGGGGCGTTGTCATTGGTGTCCAGAACGCGCACAATAATGCTGGCCGTGCCCGAGCGCGCGGGGACTCCTCCATCCACAGCAGTGAGAATCAGATTGTAAGAAGCTCGTTCCTCTCTGTCTAAAGGCTTTTTTAGAATCAAATCAGCAAACTTTGACCCGTCCCTGCCTGTTTGTACCTCTATGTTAAAGTGTTCATTTTCGCTCAAATAATATGTTTTTATTGAATTTGAACCAATATCAGGATCAACCGCATTACTGAGGGAAAATCTCTCTCCGGCTGCTGTAGATTCTGATATATCCAGACGTATCGTATCTCTCCAAAACTGAGGAGCATTATCGTTTATATCCACTATTTCAATTTCAATGTTAAACATCCGCACAGGATTCTCCATCGTCACCTCCATTTTGATAAAACAATTTGTCGTTTTTGATGAACAAAGGTATTCTCTGTCCATCTTTTCCAATATATAGAGCTCTCCTGTCTCTTTGTTAACATTCAAATACTTTTTGTTAGATCTAATATCGAGACGCATTTGTCGATTGTTGAGTGTTGTCACATCCAGTCCCAAATCAGACGCTAAATTAGCCACAACAGAGCCTTCCTCCATTTCTTCTGGGATGGAATAATGCGTAACAGAGGACGCGGTGTCCAAAATAGCGGAGAAAAACAGAAGGACCATTACATACCTCCAAAGCACTGATTTTGTACATCCCTCCATTCTGCAACGTTTAGTATAATTGTACTCCTATCGATTATGAAATGATCAGGAAACAAATATTTCACACGGTGAAGCTCTTGTCACAGCGCGCTCCTTTGTGCGCTTTCCTCCTGTGAAATCTGTCATGGCGATTTTGGTTAAAAGAGTCAAGGCGTTTTCTTAGAGAACAGCGACGCTCAGTGAGTTAGATCTGAACATACACAAAAAGAAAACATTCTGGTTCAGCATAAACTTAAATATTGTTCAGTTTTCCTTGTCATTTGTATTTTAGGGGCGCATTTTTCCTTTTTAATAAATGCACAAGAAAATATGCAAAAGTAATACACAAAATACAACATTAAGAACAAAAAATGGTTGTGAAATCATAATTTATAAACAATGAATGTTATGTTTGTGGGGAAAAATCCTTTTATATTTTTATAACCTGTAAAAAACGAGTATGGCACTCCAGAGCGCATTCACAAACCTTTTCATCACTATATTGATATAAGTTTAGCATGACACGATATGCAAATCTCTCTCTGATGATTGAAACTGAGTTTCTTACCTGTAAAGTAGAAGCCGCAGAGTCGCTGGTCTCGGTCAGTCCTGTGCTCCTCGGGATGCTGGACACGATGTATCTCGCGCCCTTTGGCACAGGCTGTCTGACCACCAGCTTTCCTTTCCTCGTCTCTGCTAGAAATAAACTGTACCAGTAGGCATCGTTGGAGACCAGAGTGGAGTCCGCGATGGTGGAGTTCCTCTCGCTGATCACACTGTTCCTGCTCGGAGGAGCCGCTTTGCTGGGCTTCGCCTTCTGGCACTTGAGCACGATGGTCACCAATATAGTGATGAGCAGAAGAAATGACACAGAGCCCAGTCCGATCACCAGATACAGGTTTAAATCCGAGAAGATGTCATACTCCAAAGGCACCTCAGTGTAGGTTTTAAGCGCGGTCTCCACAGTGGACAGTTTGATGGTGACTGTAGCAGAGAGCGCGGGCTCTCCGTTGTCCTTGGCGATCACCACCAGCCGCTGGTCTCGCGAGTCTCTGTAGCTGAACATCCTCATGGTCCGTATCTCTCCGTTGTATTGATCCAAGCTGAATAACGTAGCGTCGGTGTTCTGGAGAAACTGGTAGGTGATGCGAGAGTTGTGCACTGAATCAGAGTCTATGGCGATGACTTTGGCGATCAGAGTTCCTTTATCGGTGGATCTCGGGATGGTTTCCTTCACCTCGGAGCCCTGCGCGCGCCACGGAGACACTATAAGCGGTGTGTTGTCGTTCTGGTCCATGATAATAATGTGAACGGTCACGTTACTGCTGAGCGGAGGAACACCAGAGTCTCTGGCCTCGATGTGGAACAGAAAATCCTTCTCTATCTCATAATCAAACGTCTTTAGCGCGTAAAGATTGCCGTTCTCCGGGTTAATGGAGAACAGCATGGACATGGAGGTGTTGGCTATTTCCTTCTCTATGATGAAATAAACCAGATACTGATTTTCATGGAGATCTGGGTCTACAGCAGTTATAGAGCTCAGTGAAGCTCCAGGCGCGTTATTCTCCATTACTGGTATCGTGTAGAAAGTCTGTGGGAACTGAGGAACATTGTCGTTCACGTCCAGCAGCTCTAAAGTGATAGTTTCATTATCAGATAACGGCGGGTTGCCCCTGTCAGTCACGGTGATAGTGATGTCATATTCTGGAAGCTTTTCACGGTCTAACGGCTCTGAAACTAATAATTCATAATAATTATCAGAGGATTCTTTAAGCGCAAAAGGTAAATCAGCAGAGATATGAATGTCTACCTGTCCATTCTCTCCAGAGTCTTTATCACTCACACTAACAACTGCAATCACTGTGTTTACAGCCACATCCTCTTTAACTGTGCTCTGAAATGACTTAATCGAAATTTCAGGATGATTATCATTCATGTCAGTTATTAACACTGATAATTTGCATTGACCTGATAATGGATGTGTGCCTTTATCAGATGCTATAACTTCCATATCGTAAATTCTAAAGTCTTCATAATTAACCATCTCTTTCACTCTAATTTCACCACTGTCAGGATTCAGACTGAACGTTTTCTGTGTCTTCTCTGATGTATACAGACTAAATGAATACACCAGCTCTGCATTAGAACCCTCGTCTAGATCTGTAGCGTTTAATTTAACCACCAGGCTGCCTATGGGTGCGTTTTCAGTTAAATTGATGGTGTAGCTGTCTTTGTCAAATTTAGGGGCGTTGTCATTGGCATCCAACACACGAACCATGATGCTGGCCGTGCCTGAACGCGGAGGGACTCCGCCATCCACTGCTGTCAGAATCAGATTATGAACAGCCTGCGTTTCCCGATCTAGCGCCTTTTTTAATATTAAATCTGCAAATTTGGACCCGTCCCTCCCAGACTGAATTTCAATGTCAAAGTGCTCGTTTTTGCTCAAATAGTACGTTTTAACAGAGTTTGAGCCGACATCAGAATCCACCGCATTACTGACAGAGAATCGCTCACCGGCTGATGTTGACTCAGTGATATCTAAATTAATAGTATCGCGTCTAAACTGAGGATTATTGTCATTTATGTCAGTGATTTCCAGCTCGATATAAAATATTCGCACAGGGTTCTCCACGATAACCTCCATTTTTAGATAACACGTCGTTTTGGCAGTACACAAATATTCACGATCAATCTTCTCTTGTATGTACAGCTCACCTCTGTCTTTGTTTATAGCGAGGTATTTTTTGTTAGCAATAACATCTAATCTGACGTTTCTTTTTATCAAAGTCTGTACGTCAAGCCCTAAATCAGTAGCTAAATTAGCCACGACAGACCCCACTTCCATCTCCTCCGGAACAGAATAGTGCGTAACAGCCAGAGCCGAGCGGCAAACCGCTGATAAAAGGAAAAGCAGCGAGACGTACCTTCTCCACGACAGGGCGTTCAAATCAGAATCCATTGTCTGATAAAAGGGTTACGACGAAAGAACAAAGCAGTTCATGCAGCAGCAAAACATATGATTATACTCCAAATTTAAGATGTAGACAAAACTGTTAGTGAAGATCTGAAAAATGAAAGTTTCCTTGATGTAAACTGCAATATTTGGCATTAAAAACAGTGACGCACAAAACCAGTGCTCATTGCAGAATGGCCAACTATGAAAGTGACGCTGAAATTACGCACGCAGAGAAATCTACAAGCTTACTTGTGAGACTACAGCGCCACTTGGCGCACATACTGTGAGGTGCCTCAAAATCTGTGGAGAACTTCAAATATGTATTAAAACTTAAAATATATACGTTTTTTTTACATTGAAATAAAAAGAAATTGCGTAAATCTTTTGAAATTAAAGCATTATATAAAAAAACAACTAAAGTTACCCCTTTCAAATATTCTTACCTCGGATTGTGTGCTTCAGAAGCCACAATAAATTGTAAAATATGACAATAAACAGGATTTAAATATATATATGAATCTCACCTGTAGAGTAGAAGCCGCAGAGTCGCTGGTCTCGGTCAGTCCTGTGCTCCTCGGGATGCTGGACACGATGTATCTCGCTCCCTTTGGCACAGGCTGTCTGACCACCAGCTTTCCTTTCCTCGTCTCTGCTAGAAATAAACTGTACCAGTAGGCATCGTTGGAGACCAGAGTGGAGTCCGCGATGGTGGAGTTCCTCTCGCTGATCACACTGTTCCTGCTCGGAGGAGCCGCTTTGCTGGGCTTCGCCTTCTGGCACTTGAGCACGATGGTCACCAATATAGTGATGAGCAGAAGAAATGACACCGAGCCCAGTCCGATCACCAGATACAGGTTTAAATCCGAGAAGATGTCATACTCCAAAGGCACCTCAGTGTAGGTTTTAAGCGCGGTCTCCACCGTGGACAGTTTGATGGTGACTGTAGCAGAGAGCGCGGGCTCTCCGTTGTCCTTGGCGATCACCACCAGCCGCTGGTCTCGCGAGTCTCTGTAGCTGAACATCCTCATGGTCCGGATCTCTCCGTTGTATTGATCCAAGCTGAATAACGTAGCGTCGGTGTTCTGGAGAAACTGGTAGGTGATGCGAGAGTTGTGCACTGAATCAGAGTCTATGGCGATGACTTTGGCGATCAGAGTTCCTTTATCGGTGGATCTCGGGATGGTTTCCTTCACCTCGGAGCCCTGCGCGCGCCACGGAGACACTATAAGCGGTGTGTTGTCGTTCTGGTCCATGATAATAATGTGAACGGTCACGTTACTGCTGAGCGGAGGAACACCAGAGTCTCTGGCCTCGATGTGGAACAGAAAATCCTTCTCTATCTCATAATCAAACGTCTTCAGCGCGTAAAGATTGCCGTTCTCCGGGTTAATGGAGAACAGCATGGACATGGAGGTGTTGGCTATTTCCTTCTCTATGATGAAATAAACCAGATACTGATTTTCATGGAGATCTGGGTCTACAGCAGTTATAGAGCTCAGTGAAGCTCCAGGCGCGTTATTCTCCATTACTGGTATCGTGTAGAAAGTCTGTGGGAACTGAGGAACATTGTCGTTCACGTCCAGCAGCTCTAAAGTGATAGTTTCATTATCAGATAACGGCGGGTTGCCCCTGTCAGTCACGGTGATAGTGATGTCATATTCTGGAAGCTTTTCACGGTCTAACGGCTCTGAAACTAATAATTCATAATAATTATCAGAGGATTCTTTAAGCGCAAAAGGTAAATCAGCAGAGATATGAATGTCTACCTGTCCATTCTCTCCAGAGTCTTTATCACTCACACTAACAACTGCAATCACTGTGTTTACAGCCACATCCTCTTTAACTGGACTTGTGACTGATCTGATGGAGATTTCAGGATGATTATCATTCATATCTGTGATTAAAATCTTTACTTTACACTTTCCTGTAAGACTATTAGCTCCTTTATCTGTTGCTATAATTTCCATATCATAGATCCTGAAATCCTCATAATTAATCAGCTCTTTCACTCTGATTTCTCCATTATTAGGATTCAGGCTGAAAGTCTGCTGCGTTTTCTCTGAAGTGTATAAACTAAAAGCATAAAATATTTCAGAATTTGTTCCCTCGTCTTTATCTGTCGCGTTTAGTTTCACTACAAGGCTTCCAATAGGCGCGTTTTCAGTCAGATTTATAGTATAACTGTCTTTATCGAATTGAGGGGCGTTGTCATTGGTGTCCAGAACGCGCACAATAATGCTGGCTGTGCCAGAGCGCGCGGGGACTCCTCCATCCACAGCAGTGAGAATCAGATTATGTGAAGCTTGTTCTTCTCTATCTAAAGGCTTTTTCATAATTAAATCAGTGAATTTCGATCCATCTCTTCCAGTTTGTATCTCTATTGAAAAATGGTCGCTTTCACTGAGGTAGTAAGTCTTAATTGAATTAACACCAATATCAGGATCAACCGCATTGTTTAAAGAGAATCGTTCCCCCACAGGCGTTGACTCTGAAATGTCCAAATGCATTGTGTCCCTTCGAAAATGTGGAGCATTGTCGTTAATATCAAGGATTTCTAGCTCAATGTTAAACATTCGCACGGGATTTTCGATTGTAGCATCCAGTTTAAGAACACAAGCAGCTGTCGCCTTGGTGGTGCAAATGAGCTCTCGGTCGATTCGCTCCACAATGAACAGCTCTCCCGTTTCTTTGTTAATATCCAGATATCTTTTATTTGCAAGTGTGTCGAGGCGAATTTTGCGTTTACTCAGTGTCTTAACATCTAATCCCAGATCCGTTGCCAAATTAGCCACGATAGATCCCTCATCCAGTTCTTCGGATATAGAATAATGAGTAACAGAAGATGTTGTATGTAGAGCAGATATTAAAATGATGACGGAAACGTACCTTTTCAGTGCCTCGCTTTTCATTCGTGATTCCATTGTTTCGATTTATAGTCCAGTAATGGTGACACTTAAAACAAATATCCTGCGTTTACTAATGGTATAGTTTAATTATAAAGAAGCAGAACAAACCATTTTGCGGTGTTCATGAAAGAGCAGAGCACACAGCTTTCTGCCAACAAAGCAAACACGTCACCAGCACGGCTATAATGAGAGATACACGAAGAGGAGCCGGTTTGATGGAGAAGAGCGACGCTGTGCGCTTTGGTTAGCGTGGTACATACACGCAGCAGGTTTAGTAGCAAAATACAAACGGAAAACTGCATGGGGATATATGCAATATTTAAAATAAAATCTGCTTTAAATTATAAAACGACTGCCAATTACAAAAACAACTTATATATTTTCCATTAATACTGACATTAAAATAAATATAATAAATTGGACAGATATATTTAACTTAAAACACTTAACAATTCATTTTTCCTTCATAAACTTTTTTTGCCAAAGCTAGCGCACTAAATAGATAGATAGATAGATAGATAGATAGATAGATAGATAGATAGATAGATAGATAGATAGATAGATAGATAGATAGGAAAGAAGGACACTTTGAGGTTGATTCTAAGTTTTAAAACCGTGCTGTGCAAAGCCTGGTATTGTTCATGATACATTAAAATTAAAAGCCATATATTAATTCCTTACCTGTAAAGTAGAAGCCGCTGAGTCGCTGGTCTCGGTCAGTCCTGTGCTCCTCGGGATGCTGGACACGATGTATCTCGCGCCCTTTGGCACAGGCTGTCTGACCACCAGCTTTCCTTTCCTCGTCTCTGCTAGAAATAAACTGTACCAGTAGGCATCGTTGGAGACCAGAGTGGAGTCCGCGATGGTGGAGTTCCTCTCGCTGATCACACTGTTCCTGCTCGGAGGAGCCGCTTTGCTGGGCTTCGCCTTCTGGCACTTGAGCACGATGGTCACCAATATAGTGATGAGCAGAAGAAATGACACAGAGCCCAGTCCGATCACCAGATACAGGTTTAAATCCGAGAAGATGTCATACTCCAAAGGCACCTCAGTGTAGGTTTTAAGCGCGGTCTCCACCGTAGACAGTTTGATGGTGACTGTAGCAGAGAGCGCGGGCTCTCCGTTGTCCTTGGCGATCACCACCAGCCGCTGGTCTCGCGAGTCTCTGTAGCTGAACATCCTCATGGTCCGGATCTCTCCGTTGTATTGATCCAAGCTGAATAACGTAGCGTCGGTGTTCTGGAGAAACTGGTAGGTGATGCGAGAGTTGTGCACTGAATCAGAGTCTATGGCGATGACTTTGGCGATCAGAGTTCCTTTATCGGTGGATCTCGGGATGGTTTCCTTCACCTCGGAGCCCTGCGCGCGCCACGGAGACACTATAAGCGGTGTGTTGTCGTTCTGGTCCATGATAATAATGTGAACGGTCACGTTACTGCTGAGCGGAGGAACACCAGAGTCTCTGGCCTCGATGTGGAACAGAAAATCCTTCTCTATCTCATAATCAAACGTCTTTAGCGCGTAAAGATTGCCGTTCTCCGGGTTAATGGAGAACAGCATGGACATGGAGGTGTTGGCTATTTCCTTCTCTATGATGAAATAAACCAGATACTGATTTTCATGGAGATCTGGGTCTACAGCAGTTATAGAGCTCAGTGAAGCTCCAGGCGCGTTATTCTCCATTACTGGTATAGTGTAGAAAGTCTGTGGGAACTGAGGAACATTGTCGTTCACGTCCAGCAGCTCTAAAGTGATAGTTTCATTATCAAATAACGGCGGGTTGCCCCTGTCAGTCACGGTGATAGTGATGTCATATTCTGGAAGCTTTTCACGGTCTAACGGCTCTGAAACTAATAATTCATAATAATTATCAGAGGATTCTTTAAGCGCAAAAGGTAAATCAGCAGAGATATGAATGTCTACCTGTCCATTCTCTCCAGAGTCTTTATCACTCACACTAACAACTGCAATCACTGTGTTTACAGCCACATCCTCTTTAACTGGACTTGTGACTGATCTGATGGAGATTTCAGGATGATTATCATTCATATCTGTGATTAAAATGGTTAGTTTACATTTCCCTGTGAGACTATTAGATGCTTTATCTGTCGCTATTACTTCCATATTATAGATTTTGAAATCTTCATAATTTATAATCTCTTTAACTCGAATTTCTCCAGTTTCTGAGTTTAAATTGAATGTCTCTTGCGTCTTCTCTGAGGTGTACAAACTGAATGTGTACACAATTTCTGAATTTTGGCCTTCGTCTAAATCTGTTGCATTTAATTTCACAACAAGACTCCCAATAGGAGCATTTTCACTTAAGTGTACAGTATAACTGTCTTTGTCGAATTGAGGGGCGTTGTCATTGGTGTCTAGCACTTGAACAATAATATTAGCAGTCCCAGAGCGCGAAGGCACTCCGCCATCTACAGCAGTAAGTATCAGATTATGGACTGCTTGTTCTTCGCGATCTAATGCCTTTTTCAGTACTAAATCAGCAAGTTTAGATCCATCTCGACCTGACTGTATTTCGATAGTAAAATGATCGCTTTCGCTAAGATAGTAGGTCTTGATTGAATTAGATCCAATATCTGAATCCACTGCATTGTTGAGAGAGAAACGCTCTCCGGCTGGCGTCGACTCTGAAATGTCTAAATGCATGACGTCTCGTCGAAAATGGGGTGAATTGTCATTAATATCCAGTATTTCTATTTCAATATTAAACATCCTAATTGGATTTTCTATTGTTGCATCAAGCTTTAGAAAACATGAACTTGTTTTGGCCGGGCAGAGATATTCTCTGTCTATCTTTTCGACGATGAACAGCTCCCCCGTTTCTTTATTTATATCCAGATATTTTTTATTTGCGATCACATCCAGGCGCATCCTGCGTTTTGTCAGACTTTGTACATCCAAACCGAGATCAGTGGCTAAATTCGCAACGACCGATCCAACCTCCATTTCCTCGGGAATAGAGTAATGCGTAACAGCAAATGCTGAGTTAAACACAGCAGAGATGACCAGAAATAACCAAACGTACCTTCTCCATTTTTGCGCGTCCATAAATGATGCCATTCTCATTTAAAATACAAGTCCAGTATACTCCAAATACGCACTGGCAATGAAAGACGCAGGGGAACAAAGAGACAGCGAAGGAGAGGATCACCCGGTACTACAGTGTGACGCTACATTATGGCAACTAATATGTTCTGTCTGGCGTATTGCTAGACAACAGCGACGCTTTGTGCACGATGCAAAAACATCACGTTCAAAATAGAGCCAGCCCAAAATGAATCACTGTTCAATAACCAGGCCTAGTGAATAATAACACCGCACATTTGCAGAAATACTAAGCACAAGAGAGGGGGGAAATAATTTCCCATGCACTTCTTTCCTTGCACACATGCCCATTGCATTATTACATGTAAACGTACATCTTGTACTATTATTGGTCTAATCATGTCCATCTGCAAAACAAGTCCATATTCTTTCTGCTAAAGTGTGCATATTGTCTAATTTAAATTGTGTAACCTGTCTAAAGTTAGTACATTTTTTGTTATATCTTATATCGGATCATGCTTGCATGACTTTAATAGTTATCATCCTTTTTTATCCATAATACTACTACCTCTATCTATATATTGTAGCTTAAGTTTACTATATATATCACTGTTGCACTAACTGCTTGTATTTGCACTCTGTAAGATGCTGATTGAGTTTTCGTAATTGTACACTCTCAGAAAAAAAGGTACAAGATAGTACAAATAATGTTCCTTTGTAAAAGTTGTACCTTATATGGTACAGAAAAAAACTCTTATGATGCTGTTCTGTACATTTTATAGTGCAATTGGATTAAGATACATGATTGTTTTCATAAAAAAAGGCGCATAAGTGTTGGACAACTCCTTCTATACAATATCTATGAAGATAAATGTTACTGGAAAGGCAAAGTGGTGAATAATTTCCATATTAAAACATGAAGCATCATTTAAAAGCATCTGCTTAAAGAAACTCATAAACATTAACTATTAAGTTCTATAATGCAAAGCAACTGATAAAACAAAACTATAGGTATTGTGAACTACACATTTAAGGCATTTGTAATAAACATTATAAGCATTTTCTGATAAATACAGTTTCATTATTGATATCTGCACTTTTTTGGCGTTTGCTTTCCACCATGCAAGTGAGCAGGCAAAAGTCCTGCATGTGCAGAGTGTTCATGCAGACATTTTAGTCTTGTGAAACTAATCAAACCTTGTAGATATCTCGCTACAATACTTTTGCATAATTATATTTCTATTTTAAAATTACGTAAATTAAATAAACTTTTAAGTGAGTATAAAGGTATTGTGTGAAAGACAAAGAAAGACAAATGTGTTTATTGTACATGGGATAATGTGTTTCTGTGACAGCTTAGTGAAAAGTGCTGTGAAATGATTAGCAAAAATAGATCTTTTGAGTTACGTTAAAGTATTTTTTTATTCTTTATTTTAAATGAAAAAGCTGCATTTACATAAAATAAACTTAATTTAAAACACAGTTTATAAATATTTTTGATGTCTTGCATTTACTAATAATAAATCAAAGCTATTTGGACATAGTAAAATGCCTTTAATAAGTTCTTGAAGGAACACTTTTGACAAAAGGTACAAGTTTCTTGTCACTGTAGTGCCTTTATGGATCAGATTTGTACCTTAGATGAGAATACAATATTTAAAATAATACAAGTTTTAAAACCAAAGGTACAATTTGGTTTCCTAGGGTACAAACTATGTCCTTAAAGGAACAAACTGCAATGGGACAAATTTGTTTCTTTGTCTTAAGGTACAAATCTGTTCCATAAAAAGGTGACAAGGGTTTGTACCTTCTTTGGTATTGTACCATTTTTTTCTGAGAGTGTACATGTGTAATGACAATAAAATTTAATCTAATAAATATATCATTTTGTATAACATGTCTTTATTAGGTATTTCAAGGTTTTATAATAAATCAAACCCCAAAGCATACCCCAGACAGGTTTAGGTAAAATTAAAATTAAATAATAATCATTATTAAATAATAATAATAATAATAATAATAATAATAATAATAATAATAAATATTAATAAATATTAGTAAATATTAATAAATAATAATAATAATAATAATAATAATAATAAAATTAAATAAAAAATAAATCCAATCAAACACAAATTCACATTCCACAGCTTCAGACTTAAAAAGCTTCTTCAATATCTCCATTTTTAACAAAGATCAAAAACTCCTCCCAGGTCTTGCAAAACAAATGTATGTGAGCTTTTCAAGAGCAAAGCATGTTATAATTTTTTTCCAATGGTTTCCAATGGTGGGCGATTAAAATTTTTCCAACATAAAGCAAGGTCATACCTTATTTTGATGGTCCATTTGTTGAATTTAAGTTACATTGGATCTACATGCCAACTAATTCTCATTAGATTATAAGTAGACTGTTATGGTTGGGCTTAGGGGTAATGCAAGTTGACATGTACTTGCAAAGTTTCTAATAGTCAGTTAAATGTCTGTTGAAGCAGCAGTATCAGCAGATATTAAGCAGACAGTCTACTAATACTAAAATGGACCATCAAAATAAAGTGTTACCTAAAGCAATGCAACATCTTGCTTGTGTTAATAAATATATTATTAATAGGAAAAGAGAGGCAATTTTCCATTCCATTCCATTTTTTTTTATCATGTACACTTTAAAATAGCACAATAAATGGTGTGCATAATGGCAGTTTCATAACATACTATAATTAAAAGTTTTCTTACCTGTAGAGTAGAAGCAGCAGAGTCGCTGGTCTCGGTCAGTCCTGTGCTCCTCGGGATGCTGGACACGATGTATCTCGCTCCCTTTGGCACAGGCTGTCTGACCACCAGCTTTCCTTTCCTCGTCTCTGCTAGAAATAAACTGTACCAGTAGGCATCGTTGGAGACCAGAGTGGAGTCCGCGATGGTGGAGTTCCTCTCGCTGATCACACTGTTCCTGCTCGGAGGAGCCGCTTTGCTGGGCTTCGCCTTCTGGCACTTGAGCACGATGGTCACCAATATAGTGATGAGCAGAAGAAATGACACAGAGCCCAGTCCGATCACCAGATACAGGTTTAAATCCGAGAAGATGTCATACTCCAAAGGCACCTCAGTGTAGGTTTTAAGCGCGGTCTCCACCGTGGACAGTTTGATGGTGACTGTAGCAGAGAGCGCGGGCTCTCCGTTGTCCTTGGCGATCACCACCAGCCGCTGGTCTCGCGAGTCTCTGTAGCTGAACATCCTCATGGTCCGGATCTCTCCGTTGTATTGATCCAAGCTGAATAACGTAGCGTCGGTGTTCTGGAGAAACTGGTAGGTGATGCGAGAGTTGTGCACTGAATCAGAGTCTATGGCGATGACTTTGGCGATCAGAGTTCCTTTATCGGTGGATCTCGGGATGGTTTCCTTCACCTCCGAGCCCTGCGCGCGCCACGGAGACACTATAAGCGGTGTGTTGTCGTTCTGGTCCATGATAATAATGTGAACGGTCACGTTACTGCTGAGCGGAGGAACACCAGAGTCTCTGGCCTCGATGTGGAACAGAAAATCCTTCTCTATCTCATAATCAAACGTCTTTAGCGCGTAAAGATTGCCGTTCTCCGGGTTAATGGAGAACAGCATGGACATGGAGGTGTTGGCTATTTCCCTCTCTATGATGAAATACACTAAATATTGATTTTCGTTTAAATCTGGATCTATTGCAGTTATAGAGCCCAGTAAAGCTCCAGGCGCGTTGTTTTCTTTAACGGGTATGGTGTAGAAAGTCTGCGGGAACTGCGGCGCGTTATCATTGACGTCCAGTAGATGCACTGTTATAGTTTCATTATCAGACAAGGGAGGATTCCCTTTATCCGTCACAACTAACGTGATCTCATATTCTGGGACAACTTCACGATCTAATGGTTTTGACACTAATAACTCGTAGAGATGATCAGATGATTGGTTTAAAAGAAACGGCAAGGCCCTGTTCATTGTCAGATTAACCTTTCCATTATCTCCAGTGTCTCTATCACTGACACCAACCAGAGCTATAACAGAACCCACTGGGATGTTTTCATCAACAGTATTCTTCAGTGATTTTATAGTGATCTCCGGGTAATTATCGTTCATGTCAGTAACATACACAGAGACTCTGGACTGACCAGACAGCGGAACTGGCCCATTATCCTTAGCCTCGACGAACATCTCAAATATTTTCATATCCTCATAATCAATGGTGCCCTTTACTGCTATTTCCCCAGTATTTGAATCCAAAGAGAACATTTCCTGCGTTTTCTCCGAAGTGTAAAGCGTAAATGAGTATGTGAGATCAGCGTTTGGGCCTTCATCAGCATCAGTAGCGTTTAATTTAACAACAACAGTGCCTGCTGGCGAATTTTCGCTTATATTAAGAGAATAAAGCGCCTGGTCGAACTGCGGGGCGTTGTCATTTGTGTCTTGAACGCGCACGATGATACTCGCTGTGCCGGAGCGCGCAGGGACTCCGCCATCAATGGCAGTGAGGATCAGGTTATGAACGGCCTTGTCCTCTCTATCTAAAGCCTTCATGAGCACCAAATCGACATATTTTGTTCCATCACTACCAGAATGAATATCAACAGTGAAATGTTCATTTTCGCTTAATTTATAAGTCTTGACTGTGTTGGCACCAACATCCGGATCAAACGCATTTGGCAAAGAGAATCTTTCTCCTGGTGATGCCGACTCTGAAACATCCAATTCAATCTTGTCCCGTCGGAAATGAGGAGCATTATCATTAATGTCTGTGATGCCCAATTCAATATTGAACATACGCAATGGGCTTTCAATTATTAAGTCTAATTTTAAAAAGCACGTCGTCGTTTTAGCAGGGCACAGAGTTTCCCTGTCCATTTTCTCAACAATAAATAGCTCCCCCGTCCTCTTATTAATATCAAGGTATTTTTTGCTATGGAAAATATCAAGTTTTACCTCTCTCTGCGCTAGTCCACTAACATCCAGCCCCAAATCAGCAGCTAGATTAGCGACGACCGACCCGCGCTCCATCTCCTCCGGTATAGAGTATCGCGTCACAGACAAAGCCGTTTCCCACGTCGCCAAAAGTACAAAGAAAAACGAAGCCCAACATCTAAGTGCCTTCATTATCAATTTCTTTAGGAGACAAAAAAGCAGATGAAATCTTAAATGGAGCTATAGTCCTGTTTCCTCTTGAAATATCCCTCGTGTTCAGCTTTACTGGTTGAAAATGTTGCTGTAATCATTTATAACGCTCCAGCTTGGAAGGACGCTGTTATCAGGACCACAAGGATGCTGGAAAATGACAAAGTCCCTTTAAATTAAGTCTGGGCATCATTTACTGGCCAACAGCGACGCGCTGAGACAGAGAAGAGAACTGCAAATGCATGCATGCACTTTATGATCCTTTAACATATTTATCAATGCAGATTTATATAAAAAAATCATAGTCTTTTCGTTTAATAAACGTACATCACTCTATACCCCCCCCCCCCTCTCTCTGTGTGTGTGCTTTTTTATTCTCCCTTTCTCTATTTTATTGTCGTGTCTTTCAATACAAGTTTCTAAAACACTTTATAACCTTAATAACCGTATAAAGGAATATCATTGTCGCCAGATGTCGTGCTCTTTACGTGTTATTTTTACATTGGTGCTTTAAATTATTCTTATTATTAATTACTGATCCATTAATGTATGTTATGAAACTGCAAAAATGTGTAAATTCATTAAAATTATTTTGATTGACTGATTTATCCTTTTTTTCTGTTTCTCAGGAAAGGATCAGATGAATACAGGCTCCTTGAAGATTGTCTCACATGGACAAGAGAACTGTACTATATTTAAATCATTAACTATTAAATAGTTTATTTATTTATTTATTTATTTATTTGTTTGTTTGTTTGTTTGTTTATTTGTTTGTTCATTTGTTCATTCATTCATTCATTCATTCATTCATTCATTCATTCATTTGTTTGTTTATTTATTTATTCATTCATTTATTCAATTATTTATTCATTCATCCAATTATTTATTTTTTCCTAATTAAATCATGTATTTATTTATTTATTTATTTATTTATTTATTTATTTATTTATTTATTTATTTATTTATTTATTTGTTTGTTCGTTCACTCATTTATTTATTTTCTTTTTGTAATTATTTGTTCATTCATTCATTTATATATTTATTTATTCATCTATTTATTCATGAATTTATTTGTGTATTTATTTTAATTTTTTATTTATTTATTTATTTATTTCATTATTTCTTTATTTCTTTATTCATTCCTTTATTTATTTATTTATTTAATTATTTATTTATTTATTTATGTATTTATTTATTTGTTTATTTGTTTGCTTGTTTATTATTTATTAATTCATTATTTATTAATTCATTTTTGATTTTTTCATTTATTCGTTTATTTATTTATTTATTTACTCGTTCTTTCTTTCTTTCTTTCTTTCTTTCTTTCTTTCTTTCTTTAATAGTTTAAACATTTGACTACAGTTTTCTTTAGCAAACCAAAACAAATTAGTTAATCAATAAAATAGTAAACATTAAAATTAAATGAATACATAAAAACAGATAACTCACTTAGAAAATAAATATATAAATAAATAAATAAATAAATATATAAATTTTTCCCAAATAGTTTGTTTCCAACAGTGACTAGGAGTATAAAAAAAATGTCATTAAATTGTTAAAATACAAAGACTGTTTGTTTTTGCAATGGTATCACACATTATTTATGTGTATATATATATATATATATATATATATATATATATATATATATATATATATATATATATATATATATATATATATATTTTTTTTTTTTTTTTTTTTTTTTTTTTTTTTTTTTTACATAACACATTAATAACAAAAAAAAAAATGTTTGACCATCTGGGTATTCAGTTTCATGAACCTTGAAATGAGGAGGTTTGTTGAAAAATATATTTACATAAATATTTATATTTACAAAATGTCTCAGAATACATATTGATCAACCCCAAGCCTCAAATCAAGTTTAGCTTAATAATACTAACAAAATTATGTGTGTAAATTGCTATTTATCAAGAGGATAAATAAAAATTTAATAAATAAATAAATAAATAAATAAATAAATAAATAAATGTTTGTTTGTTTTTATAGCATAAAACATTATATTGTATATGTTAAGATATTTTTTACAGTCATTGGTTAATATGCTGTGCTTTTTCGACATCACTATGCAATTTACACTTTCAAAACTTTAGTACTTGTATGTTGTTTATTTTATATACTCAAAAACTGCTTATTTAGAAATTTAGTTGTTACCTTTTTTTCAGAGTGAAATTGGACATGTCAATTTTTCAAGTGCTTGAAATATAGTTAATGAAGTTATTTCTAAACATATTTATGGAATAAATAGTTATTTAACAGCAATACCAATGTGGTAAATATGCAAGAAAATGCAGTATCGTTTCATGGTATAGAGTAAAATGTAAAAATTGTGTTGTGTGTATGTGTGTGTGTGTGTGTGTGTACATAAAATCCTTCAAACTGTATGAATGAACTGCATGACCCATTTTCACGTTTGCTCCATTTGCTTGGTGAAGTGTGATCAAGGCGACCTCTAGTGGTGTTTTGTGAGAATGATTTACCACAGAAGCTCCACATTTTTGCAATTGTCTAGTCTGCAATGGCCAATTATTTTAAATAAGAACATATAATACAAGATTTTTATTTTCCTTCAAAGATGCATAAGCTCCTATTAAACACCCTGCTTCTGGATAATCTCCACAAACTGATTAGCATCCCACCGCCCAAAAGTGGAAAATATAGAGGTCACTTTGCTTTGGAAAAGCTAAATTTCAGCACTATAAAACATGTTGTGTTATAACCTGTGCTGCTCTTGTGTATTTCTTAGTTTGAGTAAAATGTAAAACTAATTTAATACTTTTTAATTTCTGCTAATCTTTATTTTGGTCAGCAAAAAAGATTGAGACTGGGTAGAATGATGTTATATACGTTGGCAGGAGATTGCTAAAGGTTTGAGACACATCAAAGCTACAAGGTTGAGTACAATCAAAGACATTTGTTTTCTATTCCAAACCATGTCTTTCTTCACCGCAAAGAAAACTAAATGCCTTCATTACAATGTTTGTCTTGTTTCTAGTCCAAAGTAACAAAAAAATTGTTAAATCAAGAAGCATCTTATAAACAGGGTAAAATAATGAATAATAATGCATGAAAATTGAGTGAGTTTCCTTAAAACAAGCAAAAACATTTAATTAATTTCATAATTTAATTTAAATTTAATAAACAAAAGAAACATGTCTTCATGGAACACAAACATTACCTGATATCCTAAGGATTTTTGCTGTATTATATTACTCATACGATGAATTTTTGGGCTATTTCCACAAATATACCTGTGCATTTTGACTGGTTTTGTGGTCCAGGGTCACAAATTAACACAAAAATAAGAAATTCCCAAATAATTACTTTAACCTCGGTGTAAAATATGTTGTGGTCTGCTAAAGTATTCATTGGCAAAGTTCATTTCTCCCTTGAGGTCTCTCAACAACTCGGCACATAATGGCAGCACTTCCCTTTCATCAAAAGAGAAACAGCACAGGAAAGAAATGTGGGCTGCCCACACACACACACACACACACTAACACACACACACACAAAAAAAAACTGATCTGGGCCTGAAAAGGCTGGCCCACACTATAGGCCTTAGCAAAATGAATGTAGGCAGTCCGCAGGTGTGGGCTACTCACACAGAGCCCTTACAGTAAGCCACCTGGGCTAGCCTGCTCTGGGCCTGTTTAGATTTGGTGTGGGCTTGCCAGAGCCCGCTGTAACAGCAAAAAAGCCAGCACGGGTCCTGTACAGGCTGCTTTCGAAGCGCTGCTTCATGAAGCTTAAAAACCTTTACCAAACTCTTGTTCTAAATCAGTGGTTTGTAAGCATGTTTAAAATTGGTAAGGTATAATGTAACTTCATTCATAACACTATTGCTGTTTTGGTTCGTTACACTATTGCTAGTGGTTCTCCACTGGGGATGATCAGTGTAATAGCTTAAATCCACATAAATCACATGGGTTTTTAACAAAATCCTTACAAATTTGCAGTCGTTTTAATAAACATTGATAAAATGAAAAGGAATAGTCAGTAATAACAGTTAATAGTTTCTTGTTGACTTGTTTACCAGAGCCCACCATGGAACAAACAAAAGATAAGACTTAAAAACTCCACACAGAAATGCCAACTGACCCAGAAGAAAGGTCTTGACCCATATATATAAATATATATATATATATATATATTGGTTGTTTCAGTTGTTTTCCCACCAATATCAGTGTATTTGCAAGGACAGAAGATAAGGGTCCAGGTTAATATATCTAAAATATTAGTTACAGTGGCGTAGTGGGTAGCACAATCGCCTTACAGCAAGAAGGTCACTTGTTCGAACCCCAGCTGGGTCAATTGGCATTTCTGTGTGGAGTTTGCATGTTCTCCTCGTGCTGGCATGGGTTTCCTCCGGGTGCTTTAGTTTCCCCCACAGTCCAAACACATGCGCTATAGGTGAATTGAATAAGCAGTAGTGTATGTGTGTGAATGCAAGAGTGTATGAGTGCTTCCCAGTGCTGTGTTGCGGCTGGAAGGGCATCCGCTGCGTAAAACATATTCTGGATAAGTTGGCAGTTCATTCCACTGTGGCGACCCATGATTAATAAAGGGACTAAGCTGAAAAGAAAATGAATGAATGATAAATCTCCACTATAGTCTCTGTCTGAGTCTGAGTCTGCTGGCCTGAGACTGTTCTTGTGACACAGGACTTGTCGTGACAGGATGAGTAACACACCATTGGAATTGCCAAACAT